GTGAAAAAAATGACATAGATCTAGTTGCAAGGTGCTTATCTTCAGGCTCATGGAGTTAAATAAAATCATATATCTGCTTTTGTAGCTGTGGCCGAAAACATAAATAATCTCCATAGAAAAGTTCCAGGTCCCCACCTCCTTTAATATTAAATGGTCGGTCTCTAATCAAGTCCATATAGTATACTTCAACTTTCAGTCATGCGACGTCACCATTCAACAGGCCAGGCTCGCTGACTTTGTTGATACATGTCATCGATCCCAATTGCTTGGACTCGATTATTTTACAGACCGCCGTCATATAGTTCGAATATTGCGACGTTAAACAACAAACAAACAAAACACCATTCAACAAAGAACTTCAAGACTTATTTGTGTTGACATTTTAATATTTTTAGATAATTAAAAATGTATACACTTTTCGAAATTATTAAACGCCAGAATCTTCTTTCTTTGGTGTTCACTTCCACTTCCCTGAAATACAAACATTTTAATAAATCTCGAGCAGGTATTTGAAAGATACTATATGACGAGAAACATTCATTTGGAGATAAGGCTTTATCAATATTCAAACAATAATGTATAATGCAAGTGTCTGATGGAAACAAATTTTAACATTCATTCAGAGACATCAAGAATCAGGTTGAATGCAAAACGTGGTAGAGCATAGATTTATATAAATAGATCTACATTCTTAGCATTCATTTAAAGCAAAAAAACAACAAACCAATTAACACGGATATAGACAATGGAATGTAACTGTTAACAATTGTACTTACGTTAACATAATTCACAGCTCAGGGTTTATTTGGTGTGTTCCTCAATGATTCAACATTCTTGATTTTATCTCCTGGAATGGTCGTGTAACATTTTCCCCCTTGCTGCAACGAAGCATAAAAGAGAGAGTCAAAACTAGAACTATATTCAATAAGCATATATTCAGATCTATAGTCTATCCAAAAAGATAACATACATTGTTTAATTGCCTAAAATTTAGGAAAAACTGTAAATCTAAAGTCCCCATATATAACGTCCGATCGAAAATATCTCAGGCTACAGATATAGATCTAAGTAACAAAATTATGAGTACCATCATAAAAAAAACACCTGATGAAATTTGGTTTCCATATACACCGGTCTGATAAACCGGTCGGGCAAACCAGTGATTGTTAAAGTGAGCCACGTCTCACAATCTCTGTCAGAGAACAATGAGTCGGAGGAGTCGACACACAATCATGTTAGTACAAACATGGTTTGTTTGGCGACCTTTTCTAAACCGGAATCCAAACGAGAACAGATATATTAGACAGGCATTGTAGTTTATTACGACTCACATCTTCATCGCAGCGCTGTTTATATAGATCTAGCTACAGTACGATTTTGTAGCGGCAGCGGTAGAAACTAAGAGTTTCAGTCCACTAGTCCTTATAATGATAGCATATAGCAAAACCTTTAAAAATGTCAAAATTCTAATAGTCCTTAGGATACCTTTACTACCCGGCAGTTTGGCATGGCCTATAGGACTAGTGCCAATTTCTAACCCTGTTATCGAGCACTGGAACTTACTCGTTCAGTTTTCGATCACCATTTTATGCTCTCTCACTGTAAAAATGTTTCAGAGAACCAAATATCATATGAAATTTGTTTGTTACTACGTTTATTAACATAATACAGTTCAATATCGTTAAATATAATTCTGTAGTATGGTAGCCTACGTAGCAACATGTTGAGATCGAAAACCGAACGCAAATGGTTACTATCACCAGAGACCATATAATATCTATTATATGGTCTCTGCTATCAATTCCATTGTATTTTTTTTCATTGGTGCACATTGGCTACACCTATCTCACCTTAATAATCAACAAACGATGACCAACTCACTGACAATATATGGTGATATTTAACTTTTGACTACCGACTACTCACTAGCTTATCATCACCAGCGAGGACAATACCGCAAACACCCCGTTATAGCGCGCGACGAGAGACTCGTTTTACTTTTGCTTGTTTTCATTAGAAGGGAGTCGGACATAGATCTAGTTATCAGAAAATGATGAATTGATCCTTTTTTTGGAAATATTGACCTTTTTCACACTTCGCCACTTCCGGTTTGAAAGCGAGGCTTGGAGAGCAGAAGGTGAAGGCTGGATAGCACATGAAATACATGGAGATGTCAACAAGGCACGCAATCGGGATAAACTGTGACAATTTAACCATCCCGGCACATTTATCGTAAGTATTGAACATTATTCTTATTGACAAACTATTCTACTGTTATCTGGTCTCCTTACCGATATAAATTTGAGTCTGGCCGTTCTGTTGTGATTTCAATTTAAAATATCCATGACCACCTGGTAACTCCCAGTGCAGTTTATGGTAGCTGAACAGACTTAATACAAATGCTACTGAAATCTTGTAAAGAATAATTCATTGTTAACACACCATTAAGCCAAACTATTTATTGTGAGTTTAAATAATTATATTGTTATGATGTAATATTTTACTATTGTTATCAATCTTTAGAACTTTAGTTTATTTCAATCAAGTCAAGTGGTGTGATCATTTTGATATTTTTTTAATTCAATCAAAACGAGAAAAATAAAAAAATATAAATACATAGAAGAAATTTGTTTTCCTTGTCAAATAACGATGATAGCATGAATTTATCTCATGCTCCTTGTGAAAATTCATTCCCATTCTTCTTCGAATGTACCTTATATGATGATTTTAGGGAGACATTACTGACAGCTATCGATAATCTTGGAGCACAAAAAACTCTACATAGTATTCTTTTTGGTGATCCAAACTTAGATGTTTTACTGAATACAAAAATATTCTTGTCTGTACACAAATTTATAGAAACAACTTACAGATTCAGTAGCTAGCATATTAATTATTGTTTCCAAACTGTTAATCATTAATATTGTTAAATCTATATTCAACACTAAAATGTATAATATTAGGATATGTATGAGATGCACACTGTCTTCACTTTCCAGCACATTGTACATATCCTTCATATGAGCACTGTATATATATTGCGCACTATGTTTCCACAATGTGAAGCTTCAACTGTAAATTGTTCATTTTCATTATGCAATATTATGTATAACTGTATATAGGGAGAAGGCGGTAATAAGTGCTGCCCTTTGTCTTTTTGGACAATAAAATATGTTTAATAATATTTCATCTTGTGATCTGACAAAGTTAATATTTTCAAGTCAAGATATCAACTTTAGTAAACCACATAAGAGATAAACATTGCTTTTGACAAAATTAATTTAAGTCTTATATTTTCTTTGTGATCTTCATGACCTTACTCAGAAAACCATAGTGTCAATGAGGCAGACTGACTGTAGGTGTGACAAAACGTGATATTTCACCTGATTTTAATAAAAATCTTATTTATTTCACTCTAGCGAAAGTATGTTTTCAGCATGGTCAGACTAAATAAAGTATTTCATGATTAAATACATACCGGTAATACAAATATCAAAACGTGTTTCATTAAAACAAGAGTGAATTTCTGTGTGACATTGATATAGAGAGCTGTAGTACACTGTCATTAAATTGATGCATCTGTTGAGTTTACTGTTTACACAGAATATACTGTTTGAGTTTTTGACATATCAGATGAATTGATGCCTTCAAGATTGTTCTAAAGTAGCATGTAATGTTACACACTGTGATTAATTTTCCTTAAACTTCTCTATTTCAGAAGAATGTTGTTTTCTAAATAAGCAATATTTTGAGAGAAGGTGAATATGCATTGTTTATAAAAAATGTTATTGAAGTAGGAATATTATTACAATATTATTGAATTATTCATTTTAGGCCAGCGAGTCAACACAATGAAGTACAAGTATCCGGGTGACGGATGTCTGGAGGAGCTTTCTCCTGACAGTAACACAATGGTTACAATGTGTGTCCTGTCAAAGGACGAGGAAGTGAAAAGCCATATTCATTCAATCGACAAATGTTATTGTACAAAGTTAGGCCTATTTACAGACCTTTTCGCTTATGATCAAAACCCGAACAAATATGACGGCCACAAAACGCCGCCAGACTGAATTCTGGTCAAACATATACTGCTTGACCTTGGTAATTACCCTTGGTATCCATAAAATAATAATATGGAAGAAAGTCTTTGGCCTTCTTCATATCTATATACATGATGTTCTGTGTATCAAATATTAATATCAACACTGACGCTCAGTGAAAGTGACCAGCAAACTGCATTCAAAACCCTGCCACTTCTGAATAATACGACACATTTAAATCATTTGACTATCTGCATGTACAGAAACACATCAACAAGCGGAGACTGCTTTTGAAAAATTAACTTACCTCATCCGAATTCACAGATCATCTGTCCAGTTCCAAATGCTGCACAATCACTTAGTTGTAATATGTCCAGAGTGAACTAAGATGGCTGGTCATTCTGACGTCACTTCACGAGGCAACAGTTTAAACTTTTCAGCAGTCGCTCTCACGTCGCAAAAAATGTGCGCCAATTGTTTTTAACTGTAATATTGCTTGTGACAACATTTAGTAGAGATGGTAGATCTACAAGTGGTTTCCTAAACATCATTTACAAAAAGTGTTGTAATGTCCAAAGCACAACGTTATCACAACTTTAATTTGCAACGTTGTTGTAACGTTGTGGAATAACGTTACAATGTAACGTAATACTAACGTCGTCATAGAGATACGCAATTACGTTCTGGAAATTTTAGTATTAAGAGATGAAAATTCAAATGCCGAATATTCTTGTTCACTGGTTTACAAATTAGATTATTTCAACAGCTGACAATTGAGACTATGGCGTGAAATACACAACGTTCACTTGTCATTCAGTGGTCATTGTGAAAAGCCAATTTCCATTTCAGTGGTCTCTTACAAGCATGGATCACTGGTTTAATGGTGTAGAACGCCAGTGTCTAGGGCTCATGGTGGCTTCATGTGATTCCTGAAACTATTCACAATTCTCAACACAGACAGATACAAAATATAGTTTAATTGTCTCTTGAGAACATGGATATGATCTGGGATGGACAATTTATTGACAACATTTTCCCATCAATTAAAAGGATGATAAGCATTGCTTGATGAGGTTGATAAAAATTCACTGAAATTTTTCCTGATCACACAGCTCGTTCGTCACATCCTTCAGTAGAAACTTGACATGATTTAACAATGGGTGTTTTTGTTCTAGAATTGCTTACCATGTCTGCATTACCTAATTGTTACTTAAGAGTGAGTATGGTTTTATGCTGCTTTTAGCAATATTCCAACAACATCACAGGGACACAAGGAATCGGCTTCACACATTGTACCCATGTGGAGAATCAAACCCAGGTCTTTAGCATGATGAGCCAACATTTAACCACTAGTTTAACCACACTGCTACCCCGTGCCCCTGTAACTTAACAGATGACAATACTATCTGATGTTGGAAACATGAGCTGATGAAATTGCAATATCAGTAACTACATAAATAGAAAACATCAAAGTATTTGACTTGAAAGTCTTTTTTCTTCTATTCCTGAACAGAATGATTCCAAAGAATGAGTCATATCAATGATATATATACATACAAAGGCATTGACAGTGTTGGAATCCAAATTGAATTATTAGTAGACCACTGCAAATGTTTGCAATGAGATTGACAGCAATGAGATTTACAGTGGGTGACACTAGTGGTGAGACAGGATGACAGGAGGACAGTGAAAACTGCTGACATCAGCAAGTGGCATTTACACACAAGGAACGTCTTGTTTCAAGCCATGAAAACTCTTTCACAAAGTATCAGTTTTGATTACAGTTCTTTGGACAATGAAAATGTATGCTCAGGCTCGATAGAAAACATAACAATCAAGTCACAAGTTGGTATGCATCTTGCTCTCCGCCTGGGCAACTACCAATGTCTGTAGATCTATTACTCTCATGATGGAGTGCAGCCTCCCATGTCTCCCATGTGTCATCCATCCTGTATGTCTGACTAGCCTCCCAGCCAGATCAACACCATGACGACACATCCAACACAACACACAGACATCTTTATCAACTGTAGGCCAGGCGGAAGTTCCTCTCCTGCTCCTTTCTTTGTGAATCCATCTGTTTCCCGATGTCTTCCACTCGACGACTCAAAGTCACTGAAAATATACACATCATATTTACATCTGTTGTATCAAAACTAAATGACTTTTATAAACACTTCAACATTATCAATCAACATTGAGTGATTGAGTATGATTTTACCCCGCTTCTAGCAATATTCCAGCACTATCACGGCTGGGGACACCGGAAAATGGGCTTACACATTGTAGTCATATGGGGAATCGAACCTGGGGCTTAGGCGTGATGAAGCAATGCTTTAACCACTAGGCTACCACAACGCCCCCAAAACCATCCCTATATACTTCAAATAAGGGTCAGGTAATAGTATACAATACTGTTAGTTGCTTCATTGTAAACCCGTGGTGTGGTGTGGCGTGGTGTGGTGTGGCGTGGCGCGGCGTGGAGTGTGTGTGTGTGTGTGTTCCGGGTAAGAATATAGGCCCCAGGCAAAACCATGCTTGTCATAGGAGAATACTAATGGATTTGGTTTGGTGGTCAGGTTGATTGATACATATCATATCCCAATTGCACGTATAGATGCTCATGACGTTAATCACTGGCTTGTCTGATCTAGACTTGATTATTCACAGCTCACCTTCATATAGGTGGAATATTGCTGAGTGTGGCGTTCAAGAAACCTTCATTTTAGTAATTTCAAGAAACATTCTTTCATGACTAATCAATGAGATGTCGTTGTCAGCGCAGACACACTCACAATGAACTACTCGGAATAATTAAAAAGAAACTTCTGCGAGAGATTCACTCATGTTCTCACACCCAAGTGAGATTTGAATCAGTAAATATGACAGATTTTTTATCTTCTTTACGTCCCATACATAGGCACACCCAGAGTAGACAATGCCACCCCCTGCCCGATAGAAATTGATACCTTGGACCCCTTCCTTTTAAAAATGCTGGATCGGCCTTGTCATGTGTATTGGTCACGCTGATGACTCCAGGGAGGCGTGTCCACTTACCTGTGTTTCTGTCAATCCACAGCAGGGAGTCCATGTGGGCGTTCAGGATCTTGGTGATCTGTTGGGTCTAAACACACACAAACACCATCAACAAATGTAACACAACACCATTGCAGTCCTTCAGTACATACATAGACGGCAATCCTGCCGACCATCACACCATCAATGTCCAGACTCAGTATATCTTCTGGCCTCACTTTTCATAGTAGGTACAATTAAATAAGCAAACCACAATGCTCTAATAGACATATTAACAAACTTACATCAAGAGCTTGTACCAGGATTTTGAGTGAGTGAGTGAGTGAGTTTGGTTAAACAGCGCAGTGTCCAAAGTAACTGCTTGCCTGCCAGCCTGTGGCTGGTAACTTTTCTGTCAGGCTGCATGAAATTTTGCTCCACCTGCCCGACTGTCTGGCAGATAAGTTTTATAACTCTTCATCGATTCTCAAGTAATTGTTTGCATTAATTCAACTGAATCAAGACGCGATTTTGTCTCTTATTTTACATGATTTTCCAATGTTTACAATTACTGAATGAGGGCAGGTAATATTGGGTCTTGTTGGGTTTTAAAATTGTTTCAAACACTGAAACAGGACATTGATAAGTATCTGCGTTTAATCATGGCATGTCAGCTTGATGTGGAACTCCTGAAATGATGCAGGTCTTTTACAACATTAGAGGCACCTGTATCACAATTATTCTATAAACAAAACACTTTTTGTCTGATGGCTTCCAAGTGAAACATGAGTGTTGTCTCCTCACCGGGTCCTGGGCGTCAGTCTTGGAGTTGGAGGAGTTGAGGCGGTCAATGATCTCGGTCAGGTCCTGCCCCATCCTCTTCAGTTGGGCATCCAGACTCTCTGCCAGCTGGTACCTGCAACACAACTTAAGCATTTGACCATTTCCACCCGACGTAGGCTTACAGTGTTTGAATTAAGCATGAAAATCAATGGGGCATCACCCTTATGTTCAAGTTTAAGAGTTTGGGAGTCAAATACTGAGCGAGTATAGTTCTACTCTGCTTTTAGCAGTATTACAGCAATATCACGACGGGACACTGGAAAATGGGCTTCACACATTGTACTCATGTGGGGAATCGAACCTGGGTGTTCAGCATGACAAGTCAACGCTTTAACCACTAGGCTACCCCACCGCCCCAGGGAGTCAAAGAACTTAGGTAAAGTTAAGGCTTACTCGAGTAGTATATTTGGTTTGGGCTAAACTTGCATACAGTGCTATTTCTTTTCCTGATTCTTTCTGTCCTGCTTGGCCTTGTTTGTTTGTTTATTGTTTAAAGCTGTACTCGGCAATATTCAAACTATATGTCGGTCCATAAATAACAGAGTTATGACCTGACAATTCAGTATTTGATATTGTGAGCAATGATCCAAGATGTTGGGGTATGATGACAAACCATCTACCAAATCACAGAGCCTGAACATTCGATCAATTAAGTCGCCTCTTATGACCTGCATTTGTTGAAGGGGACCAATTCTAACCCAGAAATCCCAAGGGGGCATATCTTTGTAAAGTGAGTGAGTGAGTGAATATGGTTTTACCCCGCTTTAAGCAAAATTCCAGCAATATCACGGCGGGGGACACCAGAAATGGGCTTCACACATTGTACCCATGTCGGGAATCGACCCCGGGTCTTCGGCGTGACGAGCGAACGCTTTAACCACCAGGCTACCCGACCGCCCCCTTTGTAAAGTGAAGTAACTCAGTTGACAATATATCTACTGCTACTTCAAAGTTTTCTAATAAGATATGTCCTTGAGATAAAACACACAAAAAACTACACTGCACTAGAGAGACTGATGCCCAAACTCTGATGAAAGAACTACAGCCTCAAGTTATACGGCCATGCTGCAATAAGGGAGACAACTTCTTCAAGATACTCATTTACCTTCTCCATATATATTACATGTTCTCAAACAAGACACACTATAAGTTGTAGCAGGATCATAACAGGTACATGGGGTTCTATGCGTCCTGCATTAGGAATAAAACCAAACGAGGGACGTATAAAAGCCCATGTATCCCTCATGATCCTGCTACTACATATTTATCTTACTGACATGTTTTAATATGACAATGTAAAATAATTCAAACACATTGATAGAAAACAGCTGTATAAATGAGCTGATGTCACATGACTTCCACTGAAGCTTTGAAGCCGATAGAAGGGATTTATTCTGCCTCTCAGAAATCCACATGCAGCCTGACTTGTTCATGGTGGGGTATAAGGGATTTATTCGCCCGCTGAGAAATTGATTCCCCTCCAATTCTGGATACATAATATTTTATCAAGATCACGTGGACCAAGATTATGTCCTTTAGTAATCTAGTCTAGAATGAATATACCATCTTATAAATATATCTTGGATACCAATCTACAGAAGTGAGAGAAGGATGTTGTGATTCATCATAGTTGTCATAGTTGTCCAGTTGGTCATCTCATCTGAGTATCAAGCTTATGTAAAACATGTCAACTGAGGGAGCAGGGAAGGGGATTTTCTGTCGCAGTCAGCTCAGTTCCTACAAAGCTACAGCGTTTGAAATTAAGCATAAAAATAAAGGTCCATGTCATAACCCTAATTCTAACAAGAAAACTGCATTATCACTATCCCCCACCATAAGGCACATCAGAACTATATTCATAGAGTAGTAAATATAACAAGAAAACTGCGTTATCACTATCCCCCGCCATGGGGCACATTAGAACTTTATTCATAGCGTAGTAAATATAACAAAAAAAACTGTTACCACTATCACCACCACGGGGCACATTAGAACTTTGTTGGTTCATATGGTAATGAATATAAACTATAAAAAGAGTCCAATAAAGCCTTAAGAAGAGATAGGCACTTGGGCCGCTTAATTTCATCTAAAAGGTCCCTTCCCTGGAAAAAATAACTCAGTCTTGGTAAGTATTTCTTAGATAAGCTAACTTCAGTAGTTTCTGAGAAAATGTGTCCCCATTGCACAAACTATGCACCAAGTAAAATAACACGGATAAAGGTTGTATGCCATCAATTTTTTAACTCAGTCTTGACAAGTATGTCTTAGATAAGCATGCAAACTTTCATTCAAGTAACTTCTGTAGTTTCTGAGAAAACTTGTCCCCATTTCACACAGAAAGTTGTGGTAGCAAGCAGGAAGGGCTTACAACAATACTCAGTATAATTTGACCAACACAACCTGATCCTGTGTTCTGGCCCATGCTAAGCATGGCCCCATGCTGCCAGACTGGCTGACTCACGTGTGTTCCCGCTCCAGGTCCGCGTGCTGCTGGTAGCTGATGGGTGGCAGGAGGTCCAGGGTCTTCTCCAGGGGGTCCAGCAGCTCCTCCAGCTCCCGCTGCTGGGAGTGGATGAAGTCCAGCTCATGGTCCAGCTTCTGCTGGTCAGTCTTCACTCTCTCCACCTCCTTGTTCAGAGACACAATCTGCAGAGACAGCAAAAACAGCTGACAAACACGTCTCTCCAATACAGCCTTGGTAGCACATGCATGAGCAGACATCTACGCAACTGGGAAGACGACATGCATCAACCAAATGTCTGACCACCCAAACTGGCTCCCCGTTCTCCATCATGCCCAGTGAATCCTGCTCCCACCTTCTCCCCGTTCTCCATCATGCCCAGTGAATCTGCACCCACCTTCTCCCCGTTCTCACATGCCCAGTGAATCCTGCACCCACCTTCTCCCCGTTCTCCATGCCCAGTGAATCCTGCACCCAACTTCTCCCCGTTCTCACATGCCCAGTGAATCTGCACCCACCTTCTCCCCGTTCTCAGATGCCCAGTGAATCTGCACCCACCTTCTCCCCGTTCTCAGATGCCCAGTGAATCTGCACCCACCTTCTCCCCGTTCTCAGATGCCCAGTGAATCTGCACCCACCTTCTCCCCGTTCTCCATCATGCCCAGTGAATCTGCACCCACCTTCTCCCTGTTCTCCATCATGCCCGGTGAATCTGCACCCACCTTCTCCCTGTTCTCCATCATGCCAAGTGAATCTGCACCCACCTTCTCCCTGTCTTCCATCATGCCCAGTGAATCTGCACCCACCTTCTCCCTGTTCTCCATTATGCCCAGTGAATCTGCACCCACCTTCTCCCCATTCTCCATCATGCCCAGTGAATCTGCAACCACCTTCTCCCCGTTCTCCATCATGCCCAGTGAATCTGCACCCACCTTTTCCCCATTCTCCATCATGCCCAGTGAATCTGCACCCACCTTCTCCCCGTTCTCACATGCCCAGTGAATCTGCACCCACCTTCTCCCTGTTTTCCATCATGCCCAGTGAAATCTGCAACCACCTTCTCCCCGTTCTCACATGCCCAGTGAATCTGCAACCACCTTTTCCCCATTCTCCATCATGCCCAGTGAATCTGCACCCACCTTCTCCCCGTTCTCACATGCCCAGTGAATCTGCACCCACCTTCTCCCCGTTCTCACATGCCCAGTGAATCTGCACCCACCTTCTCCCTGTTTTCCATCATGCCCAGTGAAATCTGCAACCACCTTCTCCCCGTTCTCACATGCCCAGTGAATCTGCACCCATCTTCTCCCCGTTCTCACATGCCCAGTGAATCTGCACCCACCTTCTCCCCGTTCTCACATGCCCAGTGAACCTGCACCAATCTTCTGCCTGTTTTCCATCATGCCCAAGGAATCCTGCACCCACCTTCATCCCTGTTCTCACATGCCCAGTGAATCTGCACCCACCTTCTCCCCGTTCTCAGATGCCCAGTGAATCTGCACCCACCTTCTCCCCGTTCTCACATGCCCAGTGAATCTGCACCCACCTTCTCCCCTTTCTAACATGCCCAGTGAATCTGCACCCACCTTCTCCCCGTTCTCCATGCCCAGTGAATCTGCACCCACCTTCTCCCCGTTCTCCATGCCCAGTGAATCTGCACCCACCTTCTCCCCTTTCTAACATGCCCAGTGAATCTGCATCCACCTTCTCCCCGTTCTAACATGCCCAGTGAATCTGCACCCACCTTCTCCCCTTTCTAACATGCCCAGTGAATCTGCATCCACCTTTTCCCCATTCTCCATCATGCCCAGTGAATCTGCACCCACCTTCTCCCCGTTCTCACATGCCCAGTGAATCTGCATCCACCTTTTCCCCATTCTCCATCATGCCCAGTGAATCTGCACCCACCTTCTCCCCGTTCTACATGCCCAGTGAATCTGCACCCACCTTCTCCCTGTTCTCACATGCCCAGTGAATCTGCACCCACCTTCTCCCTGTTCTCACATGCCCAGTGAATCTGCACCCACCTTTTCCCTGTTCTCCATCATGCCCAGTGAATCCTGCACCCACCTTCTCCCCGTTCTCACATGCCCAGTGAATCTGCACCCACCTTCTCCCTGTTTTCTATCATGCCCAGTGAAATCTGCAATCACCTTCTCCCTGTTCTCACATGCCCAGTGAATCTGCACCCACCTTCTCCCCGTTCTCACATGCCCAGTGAATCTGCACCAACTTCTCCCTATTTTCACATGCCCAGTGAATCTGCACCCACCTTCTCCCCGTTCTCACATGCCCAGTGAATCTGCACCCACCTTCTACCCGTTCTCACATGCCCAGTGAATCTGCACCAACCTTCTCCCCGTTCTCACATGCCCAGTGAATCCTGCACCAACCTTCTCCCCGTTCTCACTTGCCCAGTGAATCTGCACCCACCTTCTCCCCGTTCTCACTTGCCCAGTGAATCTGCACCCACCTTCTCCCCGTTCTCACATGCCCAGTGAATCTGCACCCACCTTCTACCCGTTCTCACTTGCCCAGTGAATCTGCACCCACCTTCTCCCTGTTCTCACATGCCCAGTGAATCCTGCACCCACCTTCTCCCTGTTCTCACATGCCCAGTGAATCTGCACCCACCTTCTCCCCGTTCTCACTTGCCCAGTGAATCTGCACCAACTTCTCCCTATTTTCACATGCCCAGTGAGCCCTACACCCACCTTCTCTCTGTTCTAACATGCCCAGTGAAAGCTACACACACCTTCTCCCTGTTCTAACATGCCCAGTGAATCTGCACCCACCTTTTCTCTGTTTTCCATCATGTCCAGTGAATCTGCACCCACCTTCTCCCCGTTCTAACATGCCCAGTGAATCCTGCACCCACCTTCTCCGTTTTCCATCATGCCCAGTGAATCTGCACCCACCTTCTCCCCGTTCTCCATGACGAGTCGGTCCCAGGCGTTGACCTGTGTGGCTTGTTGAAGGAAGATCTTCTCCTGGTCCTCCAGTTCCCCTGTCCACTTGTTGATATTGTCCTCCAACTGCCGGTACGTCATCTGCTTCCCCGCGCTCACCGCCGTCGTTGTAATGGTGCTGCAACAGATACAACAACTTCATGGAACAGGATTACTCCTTGCCATGGATACCATCTAAGGAGATGCTATCACCAAGTGCATAGTATCCAAGTTGTCTTTTGAAACTTTAGACATTAACTGTTCAATATTAAATTGAGATAGCCATCAAAATTAGGGGTATATAGTGCTGTGGTTTTTCAGTGCAGTCAATAAGCACAGGCCGATGCTGACAAACCAAAGTAAAGGAATGTCAACAACACTGTTTGGGTCAGTACATAATCATATGAATGTCAATATTTCATTTTCCTGTTCTCACTCAGGACATCGAAACAAATTGAATTGTTTTGTTTTAAGGCAATTATAGTGAAGAGTCTGCTTTATAGAATATTAGCACAAGGGCAAACTCTTCAAATGTATTTATAGGTTATATTGCAGGATTACATTTCTGAAGAATGTTTGTTTGTTGTTTAACTCCGCACTCAGCAATATTCCAGCTATATGACGGCGGTCTGTAAATAATCCAGTCTGGACCAGACAATCAAGTGATTGAGATCATGAACATCGATCCACACAATAGGGATTGATGACATGCATCAACCAAGTCAGCGAGTCTGAGCATCCGATCCCGTAAGTCGCCTCTTACGACAAGCAACATTTCATGAGTGGGTGAGTTGGGTTTAACACTGCCTTGACCAGTATTCCAATTATAATATAGAGCGTCAGCTTACAGTGGGATGAAAGCCCTAATTGATGCAGGTTTCTGGCATTTACCACTTTGGTGAAAACCCTCAAGCACAGGTATGGCGCTGACAAACCTGTAACAGTCGGGGCGGATCGTGATTCAAATGCACAATCATAGGTTTCTTGTGTGCCCAAGGGAGACAACTCTGCACAGAAAATTGCAGTGTCTTCGAGTTAGACTGGGCCACCAGTGACCCCTTAAATTTCATGAGGAAGTTACAATATGGCAGTAACAAGAGACCTACCTTGCAGCTGCTCCAATAGTGGTTGCTGCCGTGGATGGTGTGCCGAATGAACCAAGGCCAAAGCCTGTTGCTGCCGTTGTTGCTGCAGTAGATGTCCCCAGCTTCTGACCCAAATTTAAACCTGTGCTGGCTGTAGTAGAAGTTGCCTGGGGGACAAAATGTGAAGTAGCAATTGTTAGACCACCGGCAGTCAGCTAGCTTAGTACCTCTGCCACAGGCCAGCGCCATGTGACGATTCATCACATCTTTCACAGTCCATTCAAGATATTGCATATGCTTTTCATCCGTTTCATGTTTGACAAGTCTACACATTTTCATAAACAAATGTCAAAGAATGGTTAACTTTCATTGAGAAAGTATGCAAATACGTAAAAATCTACTTGTTTTTGCGTAGTTATCCTATGTTTACATTGGTTGTACGGCTCCACGTGCTGTCATCGAGGCCCAATGGAGTGCTAGCGACACGGTCACTTTGATGCATAAATATATATTGTCATGCAACTCACTGTTGCAGTTGTAGTAGCATATCTATATAGTTATGCAAAACAATATGTAAAGCGCCCCCAAATACTTGCATTAGTCTGTTCTATACTGATTTCTGAAAAAGCGCGTTTGTTTACAAACAAGAGAAAAGTCCGGTCACGTGATATGCAAATTAGCCTGTGGCAGTGGTGTTATGCTGAGTCACCACTGCGACGGAGTGTGTTGTTAGACCTGTTTAACAGTATTCCAGTCACATCACGCCATGCCAGCCTAATGTGGGAGGAAAGCCTGATGTGATGAAGGTCTCAGATATTAACCATCTTAGATGTGTATGGTGTTGACAAACAAACAACATTATCAGTGTGAATTTGGGGTTTGAACCCTTGAAGATTTTCTGGCAAGCCTGTACAGTAAATTGTAGCACCTTAGAAATCTGGACATATTAACTAGACCATGCATGTAATGTTTCCTGCTTGTTACCTGTATTCCAGTTGTGAGTCCAGTGGTTGTCCCTGTTGCAGGTGTTGTCAAGCCAAAGCCAGTTGGAGCGGCTGTTGCTGCTGCTGCTGTTCCCAGCTTAAGTCCGGGTCCGAGATTGAAACCACCTGTGGCTACAAATACAACACTTTGTGATTACATAAAGTAGGCATGTTAACATCATTTTCAATGTCTTATTTATTCCTCATTTTACTTGTAAACAAAGCCAATCACTGGTGACAGAAACACTTCTCGCTGATGTGCTGTTTGACAAGCTCCCCAAGTGTTTGATTAACTATCTTCCCAGGAAACACTTAACAGTTAAACATAAAAGTGGAAGCAAAACTCCTTTGCTCACAAATATTTGGAAGCTAAGCACTATCATTGTATCAAACAAACAGATCACATTTTACAGAACTATTGTAAAGTCGATGCCACGTATACCCCAAGAGTGAGTGAGTGAGTGAGTTGGGTTTAACGCTGCTTTTAACAGTATTCCAGTTATATAGCGGCGTTTCAGCTTAATGTGGGAGCAAATCCCGGAGTGATGCAGGTCTCAGACGTTTACCGCTTTGGTGAAACCCACGAGCACGGGTATGGTGCTGACAAACCTAGAAACATAATCGGGGCGAACCGGTATTCGAACCCATAATCATAGGTTTCTGGCGTGCCCAAGGGACGCAACTCTGCACAGCGAATTGTGGCACCTTAGACGACTGGGCCACCCATGCCCCCGTATACCCCAACAACACATCCTACATTGAGGCAAGACTCAGTTCAACTGGTTTATGGATTCCCCAGACCCTAACATGCTGAAGAAATGAAGAATTAATTTTATAACAAAAAATCTGAAAAGCACTCCTTTTTTTAATTCTGTATGCACTCAATACATTAAACTGCAAGACCATCAACACAAGCTTAACTACCACTGCTTCTTGATTTTTCACAAAAATATCAAAAACATACTACAAGTGATTGTCACAAACCTGTAGTAGCAGTAGTTGGAGGTTTAGCTGCTGCAGTTGTTGCTGTTGCTCCTGAAAGGCTGAATCCTCCACTAAGTCCCCCACCTAGAGCACTGGCCCCACCCAGACCACCTGCTCCCCCACCCAGAGCACCTGCTCCCCCACCCAGAGCACCTGCACCTAGAGCACCTGCTCCCCCACCCAGAGCACCTGCTCCCCCACCCAGAGCACCTGCACCTAGAGCACCTGCTCCCCCACCCAGAGCACCTGTTCCCCCACCCAGAGCACCTGCTCCCCCACCCAGAACACCAGTTCCCATCCCCCCTACAACAGCAGTAGGTTTGGATGCCGGGGCTGTCGTTACAGCTGTTGAAGGACCTGTTGAACCGAATGTGAATCCGCCAGTTCCAAGACCGAACCCTGATGCAGCTGCTGTAGTTGCAGCGTTGGTTGCTGCAGGTGCTGTCCCTGCTGCTGGCATGCCAACTGCAGCTGGAAGAAACACAAATATTGTATCCTCTGCTAGATATCGAGACATAATTCAGGGATGGAAATTAACCCAAAACACTGTTAACAGTGATAACATGTAGCAATCCCCCTTCCCCAAAGACGTTTGAAAATCTACTAGCCTAAGATACATAATTAACAAAACCGGGCTCATACTAATTTCCATCCCTGACATCATTTCACAAGTGTGGCATTGAAACATTCCTTGGAGAAGAGGTCCCCAGTACCGCATACATATAGTGAGGGCTGATCCAAAGATCGGGAGCTTACTCTGTGTGATCCTCATTAGTCGTCTCTTATGATTGTTTGTTTGTTGTTTAACGCCGCACTCAGCAATACTCCAACTAAATGACAGCGGTCTGTAAATAATCGAGTCTGCACCAGACAATCCAGTGATTGACATCATGAGCATCGATCCACGCCATTGGGATACGTCAACATGCATCAACCAAGTCAGCAAGCCTGACCACCCGATCCCGTTAGTTCCCTCTTACAAGCATATTCGCCTTTTACGGCAAGCATGGGTTGCTGAAGATCTTTTCTAACCCGGATCTTCACGGGTCCGTCTCTTGTGACAAGCACAGGGTATTTGGGGCATATTTTGCCCTGAAATACCAACAGGGACATGGTTAAACAAGGCATGAGACAGTAGAGCCAAAACATACAGGCAGAAAACACAGACTCTAACTGCTGTAAGGATACAAACTGTCATTACATTAACTCATCTAGAAAACGATTGTTGTCATCAGAGTAAACCAACCTGCTGTGGGTTTCCCAAAGCCGAAGCCTGTTGTTGCTGTTGTAGCTGTTTGTCCCAAACCAAATCCCCCAGCAGTAGGTGCTGTTGCTGCACCTGGTGTTGAAGTTGCACCCCCAAAACTAAAACCCCCAGGAGTACTAGCAGCTTGTGTGGTTCCCGCCGGTGTTCCTAAACCGAAACCCCCAGTTTGTGGGGCAACTGTTGCAGTCTGTGCTGTTGGTGCTGTTGGTCCAAAGTTGAACCCTCCAGTAGGAGCTGCAGCTGTTGTTCCTGCTGCTGTAGTCTGAGCTCCCCCAAAAGAGAAGCCTCCTGCTGGAGCAGCCGCTGATGTTGTCTGTCCACCAGCGCCACCAAAAGCAAATCCACCAGCAGGATTTGTAGTAGCAGGTGCTTGCGTTGGTGTTCCACCAAATGCAAATCCTCCCCCTGTTGCAGCAGATGTTGTGGGTGTTCCAAACAGCCCCCCTGCAGCTGGAGTGCCTGTTGGGGCACCAAAGCTGAAACCCCCTGCTGGGGTTGCCGAGGCTGTTGTTGTCGGGGTACCAAAGGCAAAACCACCAGCCGTCCCTCCTCCTGTAGCACCAAAGCTGAACCCTACAAGGACTTTGAATTAGTTTTCCTTCAACTTGGATTACAAGAGAAAACGTGCCCCTAACATGACTAAAGGACATTGACATATGTGCTTCATATTATTTTATTAATGTAACAAATAATAATACCAAAACAGCATGTGATCACAACCGGTCACTGAAATGTGGTTTGGGCATATGTAGGAATATATGCTATGTTTCAGATTCATGGTCCATTTTTTTATGGAGGTGCTGTGAGCAACATGAGCAACAAACCAATGATGAACATGATCATGATTTACTACTTTTTGCCTGAAACAATAATTTAAGTAAGTTTTCTTACCACCTGCTTTATTCTGATTCCCACCGAACATTTTGTGTCGTGTGATCAAGATTTTAGGTGTACCCGTTCAGATATCACAACCTGAAAACAAGGAAAACAAACAGTATTAATAAGCAGTTTATTGGAACTAAAGGTTAAGTGATGGTGAAATAGATAATCAAGTAACTAGTATATTTGTTCAGGAGACATGGTTCTGTGCTAGATAATCTAGATTTCTAGCCTGCTGCAAACATGGGGAATTTAACTTAAATGACTAGTTGACAATATTAGATAATGAACCAATTGTCAGGTCAATCTTTGAGTTGAAAGTAGCACCACAAGGGCCCATACAATATATTAAACAAAAGATATATTGAATGCAACTTTCATCCCAAATACTACCAATAATATTTTCAGTGGGTCATATTTCATTTAACATATACATGTAATTATCAGTCAGTAGCTAACTTAAAGGGGCACTGATCTAACGGACTGGTTGTTGCCTTTGTTATTGTTTTCCCCCCGTGAGTACCCGGATGATACGCAACGCAACTGAGCGTGACCAGAGACTGGGGTACCGTCTGCAAGGACAGCTAAATAAACTTGGAGGCTGGAGGCAATATTTGTTTTACGCATTTTTGAACACTGATTGGTTAACTGTGATCTATAAAGATTTCGACAAAGGGCGCATGTTAATTCATTTCTTCAGCCTAAACAAACAGACAAAAAGAACAAGGGAGCTCATCGGATGTCGTCATTTGGAAATACCCCAGATGGTTATAGTTTAATACTAAAAAAAATATCCATGCAGTGAAAGCATTTTCGGATTTCGGCTTGCGTCGATAATACGATTACTTCTCCCTTGTTGTCATCCACGTTTTCTCGTATAACCCTACACTTGTGTATTTGTTGTCATTCACTTGATGCTCAGTTAATGAATTTATTACAGGTACAGTTAGTGGTAGCACCACTTATATTACCTGACAAAGGTTCCCATTTGGCATTTATTGTGTCTGGGGTAATTATTCAATCTAAATCCAGGTTTGAAGTGAGGTGAAATGTGTGTTATGTAATATGCACGTGGCAGCCCAGCAAGAGATGAATGATCAGTTGATTTACTTTTTTTTGTAAATCAACGGATCGTTCCTAGTCATCAAAGGATTAACAGAAAATACGTTGATTGATTAATCACTGTTATCTTGCACAGTGGATATGTCAAGAGTGAGTGTTTACATGTCTAGGTTTACTAAAACAAAGGGAATACACTCATACCATGGCGCGAAGTGCCGATGTAAAAACAACATACTTTGTTCAAAGGGTTAACTGATAATACGTTGATTGATTGATCATTGTTATCTATCACTCAATGGAATTTTTAGGAACCGTGGACGCTATGAAAACAGTTGTCACGTGGGCTTTCTCAGCCGACCATTGAGACTTGACACCTATGTAAAACACCTGAAACAATCCAAGCGATCAGTTGAGAAACGAACACGGGTTATAATATCCCGAAACGATATATATCTTTTAAAATATTTGATTGTTACTGAGACACGTGACATCGAATAAGTTTCTTTGTACAGCTGCAGACGAGTGGGATATTGTTCCTTTGTGTGGATATTCACGGATACATTCCTCGAACAAGGAAGCTGCCTAAAACTTATACACATAAATTTGGTAGGTTGTAATTATGATATCTGCATTTTGTTTTCCTTCAGGGAAATTCTTCAATGCGCGATAGACGTTGTTGTCACAGGTCTTTTCCTTTGTAAGCGTGTATATATTACCGTCAATTTGTAAAATGTGATTCTCTCAGGCAATTTATAAAATGTGTAAATATTTCAGTCATTTTGACTAATAAATCTGTCCAGATTGATCAAGACGATCAAAAGGGCCTACAAACATCACGACAGATTATTATGTAGGATTAAAAGCCAAACAACTTAGAAATGTACTTTTCAACGTTACATTTTCAGTCTCTTGGTGATGACATTAAACATCAAAATGTTTGGAATTTGTTGTCATAATAATACAGATGGAAATGTCTTTCCGTCACTTTGTAAAATAACTGAATATTTAGACGTTTGACAGTAAAAAAATATACACACTATAAAAAAGCATATGCTCAGGTGAAATGTTTACTTTGTGTTGCAAGTCAAAATAGTGTAAACGAAAATCGCAAAATTACCAAGCAAGTGACTTATCAAAACTTCGTCACCATTACCGATGATACTCACAAAGATACCTACATTTCCTTATTATCTCGAAAACTGTATTTCATTTTGTTGATCAATGTGACCATACGCCCTTATTACTACCCATAAAGTGACTAATGCGCTTACGAATGGCGCAGCAGAGGTCGCGAACTAGTCTAGATTTCTGCTATACATCCGGGTATTCACTGGGAAAAAACAATAACAAAGGCAACAACCAGTCCCGGGGAATTGCGTTAGATCAGTGCCCCTTTAAGCAAGTGTTTGGGGTATGAAATTTTACATGCATATAAAACACCACTTGTGGCAGCTTGTTTACATACTGAATATAGGACCAGTGTGCTCACTGAGTGCAGATGAGCATATCAACATACCACAAGGGGAATTAACATGGCCTTGGTAAGCCACTTGCATAAAAAGTATGATCATTGACTTTTCATCATCCCACTTCAAAACATCTTTCAGATCACTGCTACATAAACTCTAATTACAGCAGTAGAGCACTTTACACACTTTAAGTTAATCTAATTAGTAGGGCTGTGTATTGCCCCAAATTTCGTATTGCGATATATTGCGATACATTCCTCTGTATTGCAATACGTACTGCAATATATTGTGGAAGAAAACTTATTGAGTTCTGTCCACTGTTTAAGATTCTTTTACCTCCACATTGAATCACAGTACAATCATACAAAGTTTAGCTTTATTCAAAGTAAAAAAAAGGGAAAAACCAGAACCATCAGACAAAACAGACATTGTATATTGTGTCTGACTGGCTGTGCTATTTGACTCAAGAATAGCTGTTTAAGGCACCATAATGGTAAAGTCCAACATGCAGTAAATATTAGTGGTATCAATTCTCCAGACATCATGGGTGCGTTTAGCTCATAGGTTCAGGAAGAAATGTTAGAGGTATTTATGTATAATATGGGTCCAGTGTTTGTGGTAACGTAAGTTTGTAATTGTTTATCAAAGAGCTGTTCGTGCAGTTTCATCACAATGACATCGCAGGTAAAAAGATGGACAATATTAGTTGTTTTAACTCTTTCAACACCAGTCAACCAGAAGCGTTTACTGCTGTGACACCCAGTAACCAGAGATTCCTGTGTGATAGATGAAACCAACATTTATCAAAGAAAATATCTGCTTGTAAAACATCTTTGCAACTCTATATTATACACCATTTGAAAGGTCTGATCCTATTGTTTATAAATATGAAAGTATTGTTTATCACATTATTTAAATAATGCATTTACAACTTAATTATGTTCAGTCACAACGTCCAGATTAAGGACCAAGGAAGCGAAAATTTGACGATTTTCGGCAAATATACGATTTCATAAAATGCACTTACCTATTTCCTTTTTATTTTTATTGTTTACGTTATTGAAAAAGCTTTTAAAAAAGAATTATCAACAGTATCTGTCATCACCCATTTCCCGATAACAGCGCCTGTCCGCTCAGTAACATGAAGAAATACCACTGTTTTCGAGGCTTCGTATGAATAACACGTTTGTCGAAGACTGGCATATGACACATCGCTAGAAAGCTTATTCTTTCATCTTCACGCTCGTAACATCGCCTGGAGTTTTTCGTAGTTATAACAATCGATTTTATTGGATAAAAATTGGTTTCTAATGACGCTTTCGCGCCAAAATCTGCTACAAGGTTTGTGATTGGTCAAATTTGAGCACGTGATCTAAGGCAGTCAATCAAATTACAGTTGTGTTATGAATTTTAGATTTTGACGAAATCTTTTTGTTTATCCTGCCATTCTGAACATCTTAAGCAGGAAATCGCGATTTATATTAAAAATATGGTGCTTTGTTGATGTATCATGCTAGGTTACGAGCTGTGACAAAGTTTTTTCATGCATAATTTTGGCATTAAACATCGTGTCCGAGCCGAGAATTTAGGCGACGAAAGCCGATGTCATTTGATTTACATTACAAGCGATCGCACGAAAAGATGGAAATAATAACTTGGCAGTAAGTTTGACAACTTTTAGATATATTTTTGTTGATTGTATCTATAACTTTGTATACTATATTCAAAGCTTTGCTTGAAACATCTTTATTTTGCTCTTTGACATGTTCGATGTGGACCCGTTTTCGAAGTGCGTGTCTGAGATTTTTATTTTAAATAACATTACGGGAAATAGTGAATAATTTCTTAATCTATTGATAAAAAATGATCAATTGAAATTGAATACGTATTTCAGACATTGTGAAATGTGATAGATTTAGTAAATGAAAGATATGACTGGTAGGTTTAAAAAATTATATACTATTTTGACGTGACTACGGCTTGGCCGGTAGGGCCTATACCGGCCTACGGTGTCTGGGAATGCTTCTTGGCCGGTATTACGGGCCTACGGTGTTGAAAGAGTAATAATAATTAATCATAAGCAAGTTCAATTTGAAAACACAAAATCATTGTCAATATACCGGTACATCACAAACGTATAGCGATACGTAATTGTTTCATTTTCATATTGCGGTATACCGGTATACCGGTAATACCGTGCAGCCCTACTAATTAGCCAACACTTTATCACATGACCAATGGATAATTAGTGCTTGTTTACCAAGTGATCAGCAATTGATTGTTTATCTTTACATGCATGCACAGTAGCCATTTCCTCTGTGCAACTAGAATCTTGATAAATATTGTACATATTTTCCTCAAATTACATTGAAATTATTCGTTAAAATACGTATAGCTAGCCCAGACCATACTCACTAAACTAAGGTTTGTAAAGGTGTGCCTAACTCTAAGGATTGTAAAGTGCTGTTTGATTGGCAAGGGATGCCCAACCCTAAGGATAGTGAAGGTGTTTGATCGGAAAGGGGATCCACGGGCTAAGGAGAGAGTTGCACAACAAACCCAAACGACCGAAGTCACGTGAGATCTTTGAATCGCGAGCCACAGCCGGCAGACTGAGCCACCTAGTTATATAAGCTGCGCCCGGTAAAGAGCGTTGTTGCTCTTATAATATTTAAAATGTCAGCTACAACACTGTAGAACGATGAAAATAGGGACAGAATGGCTGTTTTGTACCTAAGTTATAACTCGTCTAAACCAGTAAACGCCAGACAAACACAGCACAACGAACATGTCCAACTAATGGCGAGAATACGTGATCTTGCTTATTCTGTGTCTCAATTTTCATTCATAATTAATCTGTCAATATTCATGATTAACAACATTCAAAAATGATAATTACGTCTAAAGTTATGCCTCGTTGTGACTACAAATACATGGTACCGTTGATAAACTTCATGTGTTCACTTTCGATTCGCGCACAGGAAATGACTCTTAGACGGCAAGTTGCGATGTAAGCGCAAACAGTTAAATCTATTTTATGTGAATGAACATTTTCTAGGCCATATCAGTCTATTTGCGCAAGTCGCAATAATCACCACTATTACTGTAGTTTCAGTGAACATGCGAGAATACTACATCAGTATAATTATATGTTTAGCGACAACCGTAATCTCGACTCTCACTTCCGAGCATGTCGCGAAATCATATTCGATTTTTCGCAAGGACGGTTCTTGTCAATAATAATGATATTGACAAAGCCCATGGGGTTCTTAACAGGTATTATTTGGATTCAAAGATTTAATGGATTTTTCTTTATAGTTTGTAATTGGAAATATTCAGATTCTTTTACAAATAAAATAGGTGAAATAGTCAAGGACGAATGTTTTGGGTAGGGTGACCTCTCATCATGCATATACAGTCAATGGGATATGGAGAATATAACGTTGCAGTATACTTTGCAATTTAATGGGAGCGGTAGCACTTCATCGGGTGCACCTTTTGCGGTTCAATAAATACCTCACCATAAAGATTCGTACTTGTAAGCCAAGATAAGTTAAGTTGTGACCTGACAATTTACCATGTAAAACTGTATGAGATCTGCCCACTGACGCGTACCATTGTGAAGAAAGGGGTATCGGGTGGTCCGTGACACATAGTACGATGGATATGTTCGTGTCGCCTTGGCTAACAACAAGTTCTAGTGGAGAGTTAAATAGCCCATAATAGTGTGTCCTGATGTGAGGTACCCGATGACTGTGAAAACGATGACAGCAAATTTGCATAGATAAAATGGAATACTTTGTGTACCCTAGAGAAAACTAACGACTAGTGTCATTCATTAAATGATTGTGAAAATTGAGACCCTAATGTAGTGATGTCACAATATGGCTGAAATATTACCGATGTGATGTTAAAGGGGCACTGATCTAACGGAATTCCCCGGACTGGTTGTTGCCTTTGTTATTGTTTTTTCCCCGTGAGTACCCGGATGATACGCAACGCAACTGAGCGTGACCAGAGACTGGGCTACCGTCTGCAAGGACATCTAAATAAACTTGGAGGCTGGAGGCAATATTTGTTTTACGCATTTTTGCATAAACACTGATTGGTTAACCGGGATCTATAAAGATTTCGACAAAGGGCGCATGTTAATTAATTTCTTCAACCTAAACAAACAGACAAAAAGAACGGCGGAGCTCATCGGATGTCGTCATTTGGAAATACCCCAGATGGTTATAGTTTAATACTAAAAAAAAGTATCCATGCAGTGAAAGAATTTTCGGATTTCGGATTGCGTCGATAATACGATATCTACTCCCTTGTTGTCATCCACGTTTTCTCGTATAACCCCTACACTTATGTATTTGTCGTCATTCACTTGATGCTCAGTTAATGAATTTATTACAGGTACAATTAGTGGTAGCACCACTTAGATTACCTGACAAAGGTTCAGATTTGGCATTTATTGTGTCTGGGGTAATTATTCAATCTAAATCCAGGTTTGAAGTGAGGTGAAATGTGTGTTATGTAATATGTACGTGGCAGACCAGCAAGAGGTGAATGATCAGTTGATTTACTTTTTTTTGTAAATCAACGGACCGTTCCTAGTCATCAAAGGATTAACAGAAAATACGTTGATTGATTAATCACTGTTATTTTGCACAGTGGATATGTCAAAAGTGAGTGTTTACATGTCTAGGTTTACTAAAACAAAGGGAATACACTCATATCATGGTGTGAAGTGCCGATGTAAAAACAACATACTTTGTTCAAAGGGTTAACTGATAATACGTTGATTGATTGATCATTGTTATCTATCACTCAATGTATTTTTTAGGAACTGTGGACGTTATGAAAATAGTTGTCACGTGGGCTTTCTCAGCTGACCCTTGAGACTTGACACCTATGTGAAACACCTGAAACAATCCAAGTGATCAGTTGAGAAACGGACACGGGTTAAAATATCCCCAAACGATACATATTTTTTAAAATATGTGATTGTTACAGAGACACGTGACATCGAATAAGTTTTTTTTGTACAGCTGCAGACGAGTGGGATATTGTTCCTTTGTGTGGATATTCATGGATACATTCCTCGAACAAGGAAGCTGCCCATATTTATACACATAAATTTGGTAGGTTGTAATTATGGTATTTGCATTTTGTTTTCCTTCATTTGCTGTAACATTGAACCGATTCGTCCTTGTTTCTCTACGTCTTGGTTGGGAAATTCTTCAATGCGCGATAGACGTTGTTTTCACAGGCCTTTTCCTTTGTAAGCGTGTATATATTACCGTCAATTTGTAAAACGTGATTCTCTCAGGCAATTTATAAAATGTGTAAATATTTCAGTCATTTTGACTAAAAAATCTGTCCAGATTCATTAAGACGATTAAAAGGGCCTACAAACATCACAACTGATTATTATGTAGGATTAGAAGCCAAACAGCATAGAAATGTACTTTTCAACGTAACATTTTCAGTCTCTTGGTGATGACATTAAACATCAAAATGTTTGGAATTCGTTATCATAATAATACAGATGGAAATGTTTTTCAGTCACTTTGTAAAATAACTGAATATTTAGGGGTTTAATAAATTTGAAAATGTTACACATTTTGACAGTAAAAAAATATACACACTATATAAAAGCAATGCTCAGGTGAAATATTTACTTTGTGTTGCAAGTCAAAATAGTGTAAACGAAAACCACAAAATTACCAAGCAAGTGTCTTATCAAAACTTCGTCACCATTACCGATGCTACCCACAAAGATACCTACATTTCCTTATTATCTCGAAAACTGTATTTCATTTTGTTGATCAATGTGACCATACGCCCTTATTACTACCCATACAAGTGACTAATGTGCTTACGAATTGCGCAGCAGAGGTCGCGAACTAGTCTACATTTCTGCTATACATCCGGGTACTCACTGGGAAAAAACAATAACAAAGGCAACAACCAGTCCCGGGGAATTGCGTTAGATCAGTGCCCCTTTAAATATTAACTCACTCACTAATGTAGTGATAGTTGACTCATTGACATACTACTTAATTTTATGGGATTGTTTATGGTTTTTCAGCATACTGTAAATGTAATGATAATATAACTAGCTGGATTTATATTGAGATAACTGGATAATCATAGCACTAGTCTTCACATTCTGTTGTACTTTAGCGTAGATGCAGACTGACCAGTGGCAATGCTTGAGATTTATTTGTACATTCTTTCTCCATGTAGGCCAATTCTTGAGTCTGAGAATATTTGATTTGGCCATGCTTACCTAGCTTTGACATGTTTATTTGTTTGTAATAAACTTCTTTCAAGGGAGCACGGGTGGCCCAGTCGTCTAAGGCCCCGCGATTCACTGTGCAGAGTTGCATCCTTTGGGCATGCCAGAAACCTATGATTGTGGGTTCAAATCCAAGTTCACCTAGATTATGTTTCTAGGTTTGTCAGCACCATACTCGTGCTCTTGGGTTTCACCGAAGTGGTAAACGTCTGTGACCTGCATCACTTCGGGCTTTCCTCCCACATTAAGCTGACACGCCGTGATATGACTGGAATAATGTTAAAAGTGGTGTTAAACCCAACTCACTCACTCACTAATTTCTTTCAAACAACTTTTAGAGACATCTTGTCACACCGACCTCTTAATAGTCTTATGGAAAACATGTGACAATGTAATGCAAAGATTTCTACAAAATTTAGGGCCATTTTCTCCAAATTAGCTGGAGTCACATACAAATTGTTTATTGTGGAAGCAATAGTTTCTGTACATATCTGATTTGTACATTCCAATCCAATTCAATGTCAGGAAACTTGCTTAATGCTGACAAAATTGAAGTTTGTAGTACATTTTTTTCTTCTACATTTTCTCAATAAGAAATGAGACCGCCTCCGTGGTCTAGTGGTAGAGCGTCCGCCCGGAGAGCGGAAGGTCTGGGGTTCGATCCCCGGCCGCGTCATACCAAAAGACGTTAATAGATGGTACTTGTTGTTACCCTGTCTGGCGCTCGGCATTAAGGGGCTAAAACAAGGACTGGTCGGCTGGGAGTCAGTATACTGTGTCTGAGTGGGATATTCATGTTAAACTGCGGCATGGTATCTCAGTGAGCTAGCACTATAAATCGGCATCAGTCCGGACTAGTACAAGCAGCCACACAAACACACACACACGTACATGCACGTCGTTATATAAGTGCAATAATCTTGGACGCGACGTTAAACCCCATTTCACGTTTTCAATTAGACAAGCTGCGTTAGCTCCCTTCATGATAATGTGGATTGGACAATTTGTTTAATAGTTAACATGGTTAACATGAGTACACTCTTATATGGCTTAATTTGTAGAAGGATTGTTGTATTGTAGTTGTTTCTTCCTTCCTACTCGAAGACAATTGTATCATTCCACTGGTAATGTAATTATGAATATATAAATAAATTGCAATAGATTCTGTGGCATTGGGATGATTACAGCAATTTTGTTTTGCGTTGGTTTCCATAAACAGAAAAAATTGACCATGCCCTCTAACAGACTACTGTTTCTTGATTGGCTGATGAGTGAATGTGCGGTGTTGTCAGTGAAGTGTTTCTGGGTTGGCTGATAAGAGAATGACAGGGCTTATCGGTGAAGATCTTATTGTTTATTGACATATTTATAAGAATTTGCTTCAATATGTATTTGTGTTTATCATTTGTTTATGGAGTTATAAAAGTAAAAAAACAGTATACACACTTTACACAGTTTACACACTGGTTTTTATGTTTTTTCATCCATAGACCCCAAAAAAGTTAATGTAATGAAATGTTTAGTACTTTTGTAAGGATGATAAGATGATGGAACCGCTATGAGATTGTACAGAGCATCATAGAGGGATTTTGTTAATTGGCATGCTGTTACTGCTATAGGTTAGGAGAACTACAAGATGACTAGAATCATTTATTACTTGTTGCCTCTATTATTTCAGGATCCTGAGAAATGAAAAGTTTTACGAGAATGTTCGACGGAAAGAATATTATGAGAAACCTACAGAAGCTCGTCGGAGACTGAGTTTTGAGAGGTGTAAAAGGATATACAATTCAGAGATGCAGAGAAAGATAGCATTTGTCATGAGAAAGAACAGGGTTGATCCATGGCTGAGATAGCAAGAGCACTGCAGTATGTCTGGATCAAGAGTGTGAAGACAGTATGACTGAAACTATTTCTCATGGACTGGTGACAACTGTCGGCCGAGTTCATCATGCAGTGTGTAGATTGTCATGGAGGAGAGAAGACTCATCACATCAAGAGGACATTGTTCTCCCACTTTCACTGTATTTGTAGCTATTAAACCATATTGCAAACATGTTGTCTTTGTTGTTTTGCTCATGGTAAAACCACAGAAGTTAAAAACATACATGCATTACTTTTAGGAAGCTCGAGCTGATACCATTTGTTTCCTCAATTGCTATTGTGAACAGTATTCCAGTTATATCACAGTGTGTCAGCTTAATGTAGGAGGAAGGCCCGAAGTGATGCAGGCCTTAGACGACTTACCCACGAGCATGGGTATGGTGTGGACAGTCCTACAAATATAATTGAGGCGAACCGTTATTCCAATCTCATTAAAATCAGACCTCAGTTTTCGCTACCGCTAAACAAAGATCTGAGGACATCCCATTAGGGGTCACGTCAGAAGACCTTTCATCCGACCAATCGGAGCATCGCTTACCAGATTATGAAAGTGACAGTCGGAATGTGATTTCTAATCATGCAACCTCGAAAACTTTAACCCTGAACGATAGTTACGGGTTTAACGACTGAATCCATACAATCTAGACCATCTATTAGCCATTCCAGAATGTTCTTTTGTTCAGGTTTCAAATCTGTAATCGAGAATTTGTCAAAATATGTTTCGAAGCGTAGTCGCCAATTTGAAATTGGTGCCGTAAAGCACGAGAAAGCTGCCTTCTGATTGGTCATTCCATTGGTCGGTCAAAGTTTGTGCAAGGTCAGTCTGACGTGACCCACAATGGGATGTCCTCAGATCTTTGTTTAGAGGTAGCGAGAACTTAGATCTGATTTTAATGAGATAGACCATTATTCGAATCCATGATCATAGGTGCTGGCCTACTCAAGGGATGTAACTCTGCATAGTTTGAAAAACGGGGGGCACATAGCGATGACCGTCTGTCAGCCGTCTGTTTTCCATTTCCGGAGCAGAACTCCCAAACTGTTGAACTTTTCTTGTTGAAACTTACTGTCTTGTGGGGAACTGGTGCCTTTTGTTGGTTGTATTTTTTTCCTTGTTATTTTGTTTTGTTTTCATGATTTTCATGATGAAAACATGTGGTCTTCTGTTTCGGGAGCAGAACTCCAAAAACATTAAATATTTACTGTTGAAACTTGCTCTATAGACCAGTCTAATGGGGAACTGGTGCATTTTGATGATTAAGGATTTTTATTTCTTAATTTCTTTTTATGTTTCATGATGGCAAGTTGGGCTTCACTGAATGTGAGGGTAGTGCTTGTTTCTAGAGCAGAACTCAAAAAATGAATATTTCTTGATGAAACTTGCTATGCAGATCAGTCTAGTGGTGAACTGATGTCTTTTGATTATTATTTATCCCCTGCCGGGCCAGAATGGCCGAAGGGGGATTATGTTGTGGCGCAGTCCGTCCGTCCGTCTGTCTGTCTGTCCCACAGAGGGTACTCAGCTTGTGAAATTGTGAGAGCGGGTACTAAGCTTGCGAAATCATCTTCTCCTACAGTTTCCAGAGAATATGCCTGACACTCTACACACAAGATGTCGACATGTTGATGATACGCATATCGCAGTCCCGTTTCATTTCGACTAATTTTGACAGAGTTACTGCCCCTGTTTTACGGAGCTTCATTTGCCTAATTGTGAGAGAGGTACTAAGCTTGTGAAATCAACTCGTTAAAAGAATTCATGCGGGGGATGTTGTGCTCTCAGAGAACTTTTGTTTTATATTTTCATGATATGTTGGACTTCACTGAATATGAGGGTAGTGCTTGTTTCTAGAGCAGAACTCAAATGTTGACTATTTCTGGATACAGATCCGTCTGGTGGTGAACTGTCTTTTTGTTTATTGCTCTTGTTGTCAGTGAAATGTAGCCCCCAGAAAGTCCTTACAATAGTACAGTACTGGAATAAGATAACTTGGCATATTTTTAATTCCAATTTGGTAAGGGGGGCACGGGTGGTCCAGTCTTCTAAGGCGTCGCGATTGGCTGTGCAGAGATGCATCCCTTGGACTGGCCAGAAACCTATGATTGTGGGTTCGAATCCTGGTTCACCCCGATTATGTTTCTAGGTTTGTCAGCACCATACCTGTGCATCACTTCGGGCTTTCCTCCCACATTAAGCTGACACGCAGCTATATAACTGGAATACTGTTAAAAGTGCCGTTAAACCCAACTCACTCACTCACTTACCTATGTGTCGGACAAGGTGATGGATAGAATGGGTGGTTAGACTTGGTTCATTGTGTATCAGTATACCCTGACGGTGTAGAACAATGCTCATGACTATCAGTGGTTTGTCTCATCCACTAATCAGTCTAATCAGCGGACAAGTCGTCAAAGCCTCCACACTTGATTGTGCAGAATTGCGTCCTTTGGGCATGCCAGAAACCTATGATCATGGGTAAGTAACTTAGAATCCTGGTTCACCCTGATTATGTTTCCAGGTTTGTCAGCACCATACACGTGCTCATGGGTTTGTCCAAAGTGGGAAATGTCTAAGGCCTGCATCACTTCGGGCTTCCCCCTGCTCAAGCTGACACTGTCATATAACTGAGATAGTGACGTCAAGCCAAAGTCACTCACTCTCGCTAATCCCTTGTACATCATTTACAGGCCATTGTCATGTAGCTGGAATATTGCTGAGCATGGCGTAAACAAAAACACAAGACAAACTCTGAAATTCAAGGCCTTTTCAAACCCTGTGCTGGGTGATTAACTTGCAACGATTCCTTGCAGATAAATATTGTTGAGAAAACTGTCCCATGTGTTGCTAGGTTGAGCGAGTAGGGTAAATACCACTTCTAGCAATAATCTAGCTATAACATGGCAGGATACACCAGAAATACCTAACATTGTACCCATGTGGGGAATCGGAACCAAGGCCTAGTGCTTTAACCACAAGGCCACCCTGCCTGCCTCTGTATGAAGCCTGAGCCTATAAAGGTACACTGTAAAATTTGTATTATCACTATCATTCCACTTGTAATTCCTGAATGTTGTTTTGAGATGTCCAGTTATCAGCTTATTGTCGTCCACTTTGCTGGGGTACATCTAGCAGCAACCGACAGGGTTGTCGACACCAGGAAAAGACAACCAACCCACAGTTCATCTTATTTGTTTTGTTTTATTAAGAAACCATGATTTACTTATACAGTCACCAAACAGTTTGCAACAAGTGACACAATTTGGAGGTGTGCCCATGTATGAGGACCAACACACAGTAGACAACTGGGAGGCACATGGAATGGCCAGTAGCTTGTTGCCAGTTCAACAAAACAACTTTGACTCAATTCTTAAGTAGTTCTTAAACACTTTGATTCCTCGAATAATGTCAATTATCACAATTATTTTGGAGAAATGTTACAAAGAAATCAATTTCATTGTAAAATTGCAATAAATACAAATTGTGTTGTAAAATGGTCCCTCTCTAAAATCTGGATCACACACGACATCAACTGGTCCCAATTTCAGAAGTGCTGCAACTGCATTCCCTAGGGTGACTTCTGTTGATGACAGACTTCATACCTCCTTCATCGGACATATTATGTGTAACCATGGAGACACAGCTATCTGCATCCTAATCTTCCTCTTGCAGTAGTTACTAACACAAAAGCCTGGTTATGTAATAAGTTAAAATGGGATACATAAACCTCTGATCTAAGCTCTGATGAATTATATAGTCAACAATATTTGTCCATTAGCAAAATATCAGATCATGGTGCATGAGTTAGTGTAAAACAAATAAAATCTACAAAATGAAAATATTGTTCATCAACCTGTACAAGTCGTAAACATGGCCCCTGGATCCATGGTAACAGCTCTACCATATCACTCTGTATGGAGAAGTCTAAGTCTTCACTAATGGTTAGTTGGTCCTGCTTAACATGGCATTGATACATACAAATATGTATTGCTTGACGGTTCACTACGAGGCAGATGGCTACAACAAGGCATCACTATCAACAAATGATCGTCATCAACAGTGAAACGAGAACAATATCCGTGTTGAAACAAATAAAGCATAAAATGGATTTGCTAAATGCAAGTATTGCTGATAATTGGTATTTTAAAGATGATACTCTTGACAATACAAGCTTTGCTATTTGTGCATCCGTTAAGCATTACCAAGGTCAGGAAACAATCATCAATTGAAAATGATGCATGCATGACAAATTACCCTTAAACAATAAACAAACTGGTCAACAAAATTTGATCCATGCACATCTTCCCCTTTTCAATTCTTGGCTTCAACTATAAACAGCTTTAACATTTTCAACAAACATGGTTTAAACTCAGATAAAATGCCTGCATAAACATATACTTCCACCTGTGACCTCTAACATGGCGACCAAACATACACATACAATCATAATAAATGTCACTACATAAAAAATAATACATCTCCTTTTTAAAGGTAGCCTTTGTCTTTAAATTGATAAGAAGTGAAAACTTAACATTAAAAACATACAACTGTATAAATCAACATATTTCTACATTTAGCCCCCTTAAAATATATTATGTTTTTGGTCTTTTGGTTCGGTCTAAAATGACGCAACTATGCAGTAAAAAATTATTTTTTTTGACAAGCTCATTTGCATGACACCATAAATCATATTTTGGATGAAAACATTCTTCTGTATTAGAATTATCCCAACACACAACCTACACAGCCGTCCTGTGCAGTTTGTACGTTCGCTTTTGGAAAAGCAGGTCAGAGTTACCTACCCTTTGTTAAAATCAAAATAAGAAAGCCTGACAAAGGTGTTGAAAATAATGCAGCCACAGACCAGAAATATATACTTTTATTTTTATTGGGTGGGGGGGCCCTTAACTTTGATATATCAGCATTTTCAGTCTTGGGTTTCAGCAGGTCAAGTTTATGGCAGTAAATAGGACACGGATGACCTTGGACCAGGATATGATGTTCTACCAACTACTGGTATTTGATTTGGGGATAAAAATCCATGAACAGAAACAGTTGAGGAAAACAAATCCTCAGGCTCTATCATGTGTGGTTATATGAATCATTTTGGAATCACATTTGTATGCAGGTAGTTTTAGGCAAACATGTTGAAATAGGGTTGAGACAAAATTACATATAAATTGATGTTGATATATCACAGGCACTTGCATGGGCTTATGCCTCAAGTGGACACATTTCTAGCATCAGTTTCTCGTATGATGAAAGCAGGTTAAGTTTAGGTGTTTAGGCAAGTATCTATACAAGAAATTTGTTTCATTCTATCGAAAAAGCACATCAATAAATTATTTTGCTTTTGTTTTTAACCAACAAAAGGATGTGAATTATGCAAAAATGATAGGCAACACACAGAGAAATTAAGATGGGCTGATACCTGTACACAATGTCAATACTTGGAATTATAGTAATATATCGGTCTACTAGCAAGTTCTTCCCGGCAACAATGAGCCTTACACTGCATGGCAGAGATGACACATCATGGTCACACCTTCTTTTCTACAAAATTCTGCTGTTAAAACATTCCTTAAGTTCAAAACAAATTCTTCCCAATGTTCATTGTATTAACAGGTCTATGAAAAATGGAACAAATTTGCAATATGAAACTTGTATATTTTGTGCAATATATTTAGGTGTAAATCAAGTATTTGACACCATCTCTTCCAGCGTGGAGATCTCTCCCAAGCAGTGCCTCCTCCCCACTCGACACATAGCTGCAGGCGTACTTCACTGTAAACCCTGCATCATTGGCTTGGCGGCGTCATTCACCTTGCCATCCTGCCTCTCACGCAGGTAGGGGTTATCGATGGTCATAAGGCAAGCAAACACTGTCATCACCATATTCTTCTTCCCCTCTACAATATCCTCTGGCAGGGCGTACACTCGTGCACCAATCTTTCTTGCTAGTGAGATAGCATATTTAGCGTTGTTCAGGCTTTTCTGTAATGCAGATCATGTTAGGATGTGAATTCAATCTAACATTTCATCAGCATCAATGCAGCATGTATATAGAACGGTATCACATGTTCTTCAAATGGCCAAATATGTATTGTTATTGTGCAGGTGTATCTGAATAGTTGAGCAGTAAAAAAAAGTGAGTGAGTGAGAGTATGGTTTTTATGCTGCTTTTCCCAATATTCCAGCAATATCACGGCCTGGGACACCAGAAATGGGCTTTACACATTGTACCCATGTCGGGAATTGAACCCGGGTCTTCGGCGTGATCAGCGAATGCTTTAACCACTAGACTACCCGACTGCCAATCAATCTGTAAGACTCAGATCCATGGTTGGCAGATTTTAATTTTGAGACACATTTACTGTGCTTAGCATGTCTCATTTTGTATGTCATGGCAGTCAGTGTGTGTCTGTTGTTAAACAAAACACTCGGCAATAGTCCAGATACATGATGGCAGCCTGTAAATAATCAAGTCTGGACCAGACAATCCAGTGATTGATATTGTGAACAACAATCCAGCAGTAGAACCTAACAGTTTTAGTCCACTAGTCCTTATAATGACAACATATAGCAAAACCCTTAAAAATGGCAAATTTCTACTAGTCCTTATGATACCTTAACTTTTGGGAAGTTTGGCAAAGACTACAGGATGAGTGCCAATTTCTAAGGCTGTGACCCATGCCGTTGGGGCACGATGATAGGGCATGACATCACATGAACATCTGCTGCATGTAAAGTCACACATAATATACTGTTCATAGACCATTTGCTGCATCTTCCCGAGGCAAGGGAGTTAACTGACCATCCAGTTTCCACCCTTGCCGAACTAATCTAGAATTCCTGGGCTTGATTGTAGCGCCACCAGTGGCTATTACGAGTTATGTCCGTTCTATGTCCCTCCTAATTACCAATCAGATTTCACCTCTCTTATCACTTGCATTTACTTCAATCAAAATGGCATCACCAGTGACGATAATCAACATCTATACTGGAATAAAACGGGGCTTACTTTGCGACGTGCATCAAATCTTATGAGCACCTTGATTAAAAAACATGAACAGATTTGGAAAACATCTGTTTACAAACCGGATGTTGTGTTCGTAGTTACTTGATTTTGACTCGACTATGCATAGACTCGTCAGTACAGCCAAAATATAACTCCATAATTACAACCTGGTTCGGCAATGGTTGAAACTGGACTTTTATAGTCAGTTAACTTCCTTACCTCGGGAAGATGATTTGCTGGTTGAGAAATAAAAGCTTGATGCATTTATATCTAAACTATAATGTGTGATGTCCATGGTTTGCATGTGAAAGTGTGTATGAGTGGGGACCTACCATCTCCTCCGACTCTGCCTGGCTGACCAGTTCCCAGTTGACAACTCCTGGCCTGATCTTGTCAATTATTTTCAGTACTACTATCCCATCCTGGATGATGGGATCATTGAAGCTCTTGATCTTGTAAGCGCCTTCCAGCTGAAACATCATCACACCATGTCATTTACAGGCTCCAACATCAGGACGAGACACAAACTGCTGGTCGCCTGGAATCCATGGTCAAGGCAACATGGGGTTATTGCACTTATATAGCCACGTGCATGCACTTGTGCCTGTGTGTGTGCATGCTTGTATTAATTAGCCTGGACTCAAAGTTCTAGCCTACTGAGACACAATGCCGGAAATAAACATGGATACCCCATTAAGACACTGCATACTGAGTTATTCCCTTAATGCTGAGCACCAGGCAGGGTAACAACAAGTATCATCTCTTAATGTCTTTTGGTATGACTAGGTCTCAAGGCAGATGCTCTATCCATGGAGGCTACAATAACAGATATCATATCATGGGAACCAATTTTATCCTTCATCCCTATTCAACATGAAACTGTGCATCATGATGGTGGTGAGTGAGTGAGTGGATGAGTGATCTTCGGCCTGACCAGTGAACGCCTTACCTGGCTACCCCACGGCCCTGATATTGGAATGGCTGGAAATATTGTCAGTGTTTTCAGTGTCCTTACCCTGTGGTTTGCCCAGGTGACAATCTCTTGGTCCGGGATTGGCTTGTTGTCATTGTCAGCCAGCTGGGTGAGCATCTTTAGGGTGTAGGCTCGCATCAACTGCCACACCAGCGCTGCACAAACACACACAATAGGTGAAAGCTAGGAATCATATACAACAAATGTTAAGGACTGTATTCTGGTCCCTAATTTTGAGTCAAAATGATTATCAAAAGAGAAACTAAAAGTCATCTATATTCCCCTCCCATTGTCCAATCTTAAAGACAATGATATATGTGCAAAGTTTCATGTAGAAGTACATAACAGAACTGAGGTAAAATTGTTAAGACTGCTTCCATTCAATTCAAGTCTAAATTGATACAAGAGTGAGTGAGTATGGTTTTACGCCAATTTTAGCAATGTTCCAGCAATATCATGCCGGGGGACACCAGAAATGGGCTTCACACATTGTACCCATGTCAGGAATCGAACCCGGGTCTTCGGCGTGACGATCGAACACTCTAACCACTAGGCTACCCGACTGCCCCCAAGAGTCATCAGAAGATGTCAAATCCCCCTGGCCCCCACTAATTCGAAAGAACAAATCATCTGTCTGTTACTTAAGTCCAACTTGATGAGAGAATTTCTATCTCTACATGAGCTGCTAATGAGCTATCAAAACTATACTAGTGAATTAGGATTTGGAACTTTGTATTTCTATGTCAGGTACACACCACTATGAGCAGAGTCAAACTCTAACTTGCTGCCATGGACACAGAAAAATATCAATTCTAAAAATCACTAAATAGCAAAAGGTACCATTTGACAACCTGGTCTTTGTGTGTGCACAGTTTCAAGAAAGAGTACTAGTTTTAGAGATATTGTCCGGACAAACACACTCAAATGTCAGGTGATATAAAGTTTCATTCATTTGTTTTTGATACACTTTTAACACAAGAGTCTGTATGACCTTTAAATAATTGTAATGTTGATCAATAATATTCATAAAGATATTTCAGCGAAACTTGAAAGGAATAGTTTATTAGTTTAATCCCTGCTTAGTTTATCAAATATCCTTTAATCGTTTCAACACTTTGTGGTTTCGTAAACCAAACACACAGACACAAGCAGTAGGACACTCCTACCAAACCTTGACATTCTCAACCCTTTCTAATGGTTTTGTTTATTGCTCAACATTACCATACATACTACTCAACATATGCTGAGGACAAAGCTAGTCAGTTATCTTTAGTCAAAGATGTGGTCCCAGTACATGATCTCCTGACAAGTAGCGAAGTACGTCAAGTGGAGATACATTTGGAATAAGACTGCCTTATAACAGCAAACCTACCTAGTGTGATTGTTGGATTTCCCTCCCGAATATCCTCTCCTCCAATGTTGACGACAGACAAATGGATCGCCTTAGCCAGTGTGACTGCATAATTACAGTTTTCTGAAAGAGTCAAAGTGTCAAAGTAGTGTCATGAAATCACAGCGACCACATCCAGTGAACTACACAGTAACACCATGCTTGTTGTTTCCCGTTATACTCAGCACTACTCCAGCTATATGGAGGCATGCTGGAAATAACAAGTCTGGACCAGATAACCAAGTGATCCATGGATAGACACAATTAACCAAGTCGCAAAGTCTGACAACTCGATCTACTACACCAGCTATATGGAGGCATGCTGGAAATAACAAGTCTGGACCAGATAACCAAGTGATCCATGGATAGACACAATTAACCAAGTCGCAAAGTCTGACAACTCGATCTACTACACCAGCTATATGGAGGCATGCTGGAAATAACAAGTCTGGACCAGATAACCAAGTGATCCATGGATAGACACAATTAACCAAGTCGCGAAGTCTGACAACTCGATCTACTACACCAGCTATATGGAGGCATACTGGAAATAATAAGTCTGGACCAGATAACCAAGTGATCCATGGATAGACACAATTAACCAAGTCGCAAAGTCTGACAACTCGATCTACTACACCAGCTATATGGAGGCATGCTGGACATAATAAGTCTGGACCAGATAACCAAGTGATCCATGGATAGACACAATTAACCAAGTCGAGAAGTCTGACAACTTGATCTACTACTCCAGCTATATGGAGGCATGCTGGACATAATAAGTCTGGACCAGATAACCAAGTTATCCATTAGTAGACACAATTAACCAAGTCGAGAAGTCTGACAACTCGATCTACTAAAAATCAGTCTGGACCAGAAAACCAAGTGATCCATTAGTAGACACAATTAACCAAGTCGAGAAGTCTGACAACTGGATCTACTACTCCAGCTATATGGAGGCATGCTGGAAATAATAAGTCTGGACCAGATAACCAAGTGATCCATGGATAGACACAATTAACCATGTCGCGAAGTCTGACAACTCGATCTACTACACCAGCTATATGGAGGCATGCTGGAAATAATAAGTCTGGACCAGATAACCAAGTGATCCATGGATAGACACAATTAACCAAGTCGCAAAGTCTGACAACTCGATCTACTACACCAGCTATATGGAGGCATGCTGGAAATAATAAGTCTGGACCAGATAACCATTTGATCCATGGATAGACACAATCAACCAAGTCAGTGACATAAAAACAAGCTAACTAGTTTCATCTTCTAATTAACAAATCATCATGTCACACCAGTTTCATTCTGATGTTCATATACATGAAGAGTAATTACTGACAGTAAGAGTCAAATCAAAAATGATAAACTTGGCACAGTAAATTGAAATAAAGTTACATATTGTATCATGTCTATGCGCTTGGAGCATCCTTATGGATTTAGTACAGCGCCATATAAATGCATCATCATCATCATCATCATCCTCATCATCCTTAAAGAAATCCTTTGAAATGTACACAAAGGTCTGAAACTTCCACATACTGGGTGTGTGGGACATTTAGTTGATGAGTTACACATACAAGACTCTTCTGTAGTGTATAAGATAAGATGGTTGTCTGTTGAGATATGACTTCTTACCTAGTTTCTCAAAGTTGACTTTCATCTTGTTGAACTTGTCTATAACTTTAGCCCAGTCCACCAAGTTTGGCCTGATTTTATCATACAGTTTGAAAATAACAAGACCATTGCCGAGGTCACTGTACAAGTGGTTGACGAAAGGTGACACGCCGAGGCTGTTCATCCAGTTACGGTACGCTGCAACATAAAATTCCCAATGGACAACATACCAACAGTGAAGACCAAGCTTGAAAGACTGACATCAAACTTTGACACATTGGGAAAAAATTCAACATTTTTGTTTGTATAGTTATGACTTCCATTGATAAATTCATTGATTAAGTTATATCGCAATACCAATTTAAACAAAACTGTAATAGTAATCTGAATTACATTTCATATTGTGTTTCAGTTTATGTCCAGAATGACAACTGACATCAGGAGTAAATGGAATTTTACAAACTGAAAATATTGATATTCTAAACTACATCATAACTAAATCTTCAGAGGTTGTTACAAAACCAAATTCAGTAAAAGATAGTCAGTCATCTAAAAACAACAATAACTGTTAACAATGCAGTGACTTTCACATACAATTCACTCCCCATGAAGTCCAGATAAACCAGTGATTGATATTATGAGCAATGCCCCAGGTTGTCAGGGTAAGAAGACACCCAGGTCACAGTTCCTGATAACCGATCTATTCAGACGTCTTGTGAAACAAAAGAGGTTCCAAAGAACTTAATTTCACCCAGAATTCTCATGGGGAACAACTTGCCTGTAGTATGTGCAGGGATTTATCGATGATTCCAAACTAATTGCCTTTGGCAAGCATTCTTGGAAAAAAAAAGTAATTTTGATCATATTTCATATTTTCTAAAATTCAGAGGTATTTAGCTGATTTCAATGGAATAATGTAAAACTGAGGGAAATAACCTTAACTGGTCTTGAAATCAGTGAAGTCACCTCTAATAAACTAAGTTGAAAATTATTTATTTGAGAATTATTTGAGACATTTCCAGCAGACTTGAGGCCAAACATCAGCCTTTTATAAGGTCTTGATAAATCCCTGGAGTGATAATGTTTGCAAGCATTAACTCACTCTTCTCCTCTCTAGTTTCTTCATGTACTTCTCCCAAATCAATATCTTGCCCTGTTCCATCCAGTGAGGGATATGTGTTGAACAAGTTGGCAACATATGCTAAATTAAGCTTAGGATTTCCGGTGACAATGTCCCTAGCTGTCACAAAACTGCGACAGCCAATTTTGTCAGATTCACACAAAACACTTTCAGCCCGTTCCTGTAAGTCGCCTATCTGTAAAGCAAAAGCAGACATTTCTCTCAGTTCCATTTCTACCATAATATTTAAATGATAAAATGCATTCCAAAAGGGCAAGGTCGAAAGTAGGTCTACAAAACAACTGTAAAACATCATTTTTAAACAATTAACCCTTCATTTGTCCATTCATTCTTTTACAGGCTCACAAATATAGAACAGCGATAGGTCCTATTTTTCAATAGCCGACAGGAACATTTCCACGACATGTTTATTATTTACAGGCATTTTGTCTCGTGGAGCATAGTATGAACTTTCTACGTAAAATTTAGGTCCCTATCATTGCACATTATCAACGTGTGTCAACTGACCTGCATAGGTGTTAACGTGACACCTGTGCCGTCTGGGGCAATCTGTGTTAGGAGATAGCTGTAAGCTTCAGAGTCCTGAAAAATCACACAAAGCATATTACACTCACTATAGAAATATGTCTGTTCGGAAAAGGTACGTGTGAGGTGATAATGAGGGTGTGCACTTGCTAGTCCTGCCATGAGTTTTGGAAACATATCACCAAATAATTTACTTGAACATTTACATACCTGGTATGCTTCAAAATGGGTTTGGTGATGATTTGGGGGTGGGGGTTCACCTCTTACGACAAGCCTATGTTCTGAATCCAAGCCTATGTTCTGAATCCCTGCCTATTAGGTGCTAGGGTGTATCCCTTCTATACCTTGATGTCCTCACTGAAGTTGTTGATCTGTCTCGAGCATCCAGAGTTCCTCAAGTGGTAGTTGACCCAGCGGAGAAGCAATGCCTCGGGGGACAACTTCTTCAGGTCAGATATATCCTCACCCTCCTCCAACAGGAGAACCAGCCCGGGATGGTGGGTCAAGTCAATGTCCGACAACAAACCAATCTACAACAAAATTAACCACATGTTAAACTCAAACTCAGAAAATCATGTGCTTCTTTAAATATACAAATTATTTAAAATATTAGATGCTTGGAATGTTTTAGTTAAATTTATCTTATACAAATACCATTTACCATGTTTACAGTAATACGGGATACTATTCGTATCCCGATACTATGGGTGCGATACTATTCATATCACGATACAGCACTTTCATTTCATAAGTTGATATTCTTTCTTTTCACAAGTGAATCAGAACCCTGATTTATTTCTTCATAAATGTCAGTGATTGAAGATGGGATATTGTAGGACAGAAACATATGGGCTAGCGGGCACTGTGCATGTAATGCTATTTAGAGCCAACGGGGGAATACTAGAGAATCTGTGTAAGCTGGTTGTTAACAGTTTGTTATCGTTCACATGTTTTAACACCACTATGACTTGTAGTTACACCACTTCTAGCCAGGGGGGGCACGGGTGGCCCAGTCGTCTAAGGCGCCGCAATTCGCTGTGCAGAGTTGCGTCCCTTAGGCACGCCAGAAACCTATGATTGTGGGTTCGAATCCCGGTTCGCCCCGATTATGGTTCTTGGTTTGTCAGCACCATACCCGTGCTCGTGGGTTTCACCGAAGTGGTAAACGTCTGAGACCTGCATCACTGCGGGCTTTCCTCCCACATTAAGCTGAAACGCTGTGATATGACTGAAATACTGTTAAAAGCGGTGTTAAACAAGACTCACTCACTCACTCAGTTCTAGCCAGGACAAGTAGGAGGTCCAACTCACTCTGATAATCTGCCAGATCAATCCAAGGACCAGGTGAATGGTCCCCTTCTCAATATCCTCTGCTCCGATGTTCACAATACTGCAGCCAATGGACTGGGCAGAGTTTAAGGCTAGAGTCAAGTTCTCATGTTTCCTGAACACGTCTAGGTTTGTCTTGTTGATTGTACGTTCATCGATCAAGTCTTCTTCCGTCTTGTTCAGCAGCTTGCTACAAAATTACATTATGACATGTAAGGGTAGAACAAATATAGTATACCGTATGATGACACCGGAAACAGCACATATACATAGGGATTTACTGGATGCACCATACTGTGTCCTAAATGCACAAAATTTAAAAATGGACGAAAATACTATCAACTTTTTAAAGCCTAAAGGGTTAAATACTGATGCCATAAAAACTTGCAGTTAACCATGGAGGCTATGAAAATCGTTATTATCTTCTGTTATGTTCATTCATGCTTTTCATCAAATCTGTTGTCCAGCGTATTCATTTTATTCTCAAGGCATATAATACATATGAAGCGTCTAAACACCAAGGGGAGTAACTCCAACAACACTGATTGATCACAAGGTGACAGAAAACTAGAGATTGGCTTTACGCTGAAATTGTATTAATTTGAAGTTGTTGTTAAAAAACACACCATTACTTCATTCCCTTATTTTGCACAGGACTTACCACAGAAGAATGCCATCTCGGCATTGTACACAGAGTGAGTCCCCACTCAAGGGCAGGTATGTTTTGCAGTCTGGATCATCTTGAAGTGACCTGAAACAGTTATATTTATTAACATATGCATGTTGAGCAGGGTTGCAACTTCACCAAATACATTTACCAGTGAGGTGAGAGGCTTTGTGTGATATTGGTGAGGTGAAGGGAATGTTGTCGAGAGGGGTGGGTAAGATGAGTGGGACTGGGGTGGGTGAGGTGAAGGAGATGTTGTTGGGTGGGGTGGGGTGGGGTGGGAGCTGTGAAGGAGATGTTGTTGGGTGGGATGGGTAAGATGAGTGGGACTGGGGTGGGTGAGGTGAAGGAGATGTTGATAGGTGGGGTGGGGTGGGGTGGGAGCTGTGAAGGAGATGTTGTTGGGTGGGATGGGTAAGATGAGTAGCACTTTGTGCAGTGGGGTGTGTGAGGTGGATGGGCTGTTGTTGGGTGGGGTCCAGTGGAGTGGGGTGGGTAGGGTTGGGGTGGGGTGGGAGAGGTGAAGGAGATGTTGATAGGTGGGGTGGGGTGGGGTGGGGTGGGAGCTGTGAAGGAGATGTTGTTGGGTGGGATGGGTAAGATGAGTAGCACTTTGTGCAGTGGGGTGTGTGAGGTGGATGGGCTGTTGTTAGGTGGGATCCAGTTGAGTGGGGCTGGAGAGGTGAAGGAGATGTTGTTGGGTGGGGTGGGTAAGATAAGTGGCACTTTGTGCAGTGGGGTGTGTGATGTGAATGGGCTGTTGTTGGTTGGGGTCCAGTTGAGTGGGGCTGGGGTGGGGTGGGGTGGGGTGGGGTGGGGTGGGAGAGGTGAGGGAGATGTTGTTGGGTGGGGTGGGTAAGATGAGTGGCACTTTGTGCAGTGGGGTGGGTAAGATTAGTGGCACTTTGTGCAGTGGGGTGTGTGATGTGAATGGGCTGTTGTTGGGTGGGGTCCAGTTGAGTGGGGTGGGGTGGGGTGGGGTGGGGTGGGAGAGGTGAGGGAGATGTTGTTGGGTGGGGTGGGTAAGATGAGTGGCACTTTGTGCAGTGGGGTGGGTAAGATTAGTGGCACTTTGTGCAGTGGGGTGTGTGAGGTGAATGGGCTGTTGTTGGGTTGGGTTGGGTAAGGTGAGTGGGAGTTTGTAGGGTGGGTCGAGTGAGGTGAAAGTAATGCTGTTGGGTGGAGTGGGGTGGGTAAGGTGAGTGGCACTTTGTGCAGTGGGATGGGTGAGATGAAGGGTAGAGTGTTGGATGTGAGTTCTGTGTTGGAATAATGCAAATGGACTCACGTGTTAATCCAGTCTGAGAAGGCAACAAGTTCAGAGTCCTTGACTGTGTGTGTAGTTCCGACTGTGGAAGCCTGGGACACACCCTCATGGCTGCGGACTCCTTGTTTGGGGGCTACAGATGTCTTAAACTTCAGGCCGAAGTTACGTTTTTTCAGTTCTTCAATATATAGCTGGAATCATGAAAAGCACTGTGCAACAGTCAAATAACATACAAATAATTACTCTTAACAAGATCAGTATGGTCTGACCGTAATTCGTTCTGAGAATGGCTTCATTTGTACATCCAATTATGCTATTAAAAGTATTCAAGACTAGACCAGTTTCAATATTCCTTATCGATCTCGTTATGGACCATAATCTTTTGTCAATGTCATCACACATTTATAGATGAAACCTGTGAAAATCCAGATTAGAACTGGTCTTCAGCAACCCATGCTTGTTGTTTAACGGGGTCAGGTGGTCAGGCTTGCTGACTTGGTTGATGCATGTTATCGTATACCAACTGTGTAGATTGATGTTCATGATGTATCACTGGATTGTCTGGTCCAGATTTCATTATTTACAGAACGCCGCCATATAGCTGCAATACTGCTGAGTAGCATTGAAAACAAACAAAACATAAGATGAAAATAATGGTAATTGTAATAAATATATATTTAACAAACTTGATCTGATTCCTATTACCTTTTCAAACTCTCCCATATCCAGCTTCCCATTGGCATCAGCATCATATCGCTGTACGATATCTCTGATTTCATAACCAGCCAGTTTGATGCTGCATGCTGCAAGTGCCTCTTTGATTTCATCCATGGAAATACTGCCATTGCCATCTTCGTCCACCTGCAAAACAGGACATCATCATCAGACACAGCTTCAAATACCGTATTCAACGTAATAAGCGCCCAGGACGCTCTCAAAATTAGAAATAGGGGGCTCTTATTAGAATATTATTTTGGTGGAAAAAACAGAGTTGAAAGATAAATTTTGTGGTTTATGCTGACGGCCTGACTGTTTATATACGACAGATATTTTTTTCCAGAATTTAATTGCCCATAGTTAAGGGTGCATATAACACACGAGTGCGTATTATACACGAATAAATAAGTCTTGCGTACATTGATCAATCGGAAGGGTGCTAATTGGGATTGTTCACTTGCCAATATATTAGCAAATATCGCCATGGGCGCTTATTACATCAAATACGGTATAGGACTTATTTAAACCTTTCGTGTGTAGGGATTATTATTTAGGGGTGTGAAAAAAAGTATCAAAAGTCAAACCATATGTTTTGCAATATGTATCAGGGATAGAAATTAACCTAGGAAATCTACTAGCTTGAGTAGTGATAACATATAGGAACATCCCAAAATGATCAGCAATATGGATACCTTTAACATTAGCGAAACTGTCTTGGGCCAGCGTTTATTTCTATCCCTTATATAGTTATATATGCATTGAACGACTTAACAAAACCACCTCCTATCACACAAAGACATACACACATCAGGTGTAGAGCCAACTGGTCAAATTCAACTAGTCAGCAGTTCATGTAGGGCTGGTAGTTCAGTTAAAATCAATACATTTTAAGAGAAATCAACTAGTTCCTAAAGATTTTCACCAACCTCTGACTAATGGACTAGTTGTATGTGTATCTCCACATTTCAAATGAAACATATCCTTATGAATCTTCCACAAGTTGGTTACTTTGAAAAATATATTCATCATGGAAATGACAAAGATTTGACTTTGTCAAAGAAAAGAAAACAGCAATTATCTTAACTACTTTCAAAATCGAAAATGATTTTATGAGAGCATGGGCTGGTTTCCCTTCACAAACAAATCAAAAGTTAACGTTTTACTGGTTATAATCTGGAGATGGTTTCTAGTAGCAAGTGCCTTCCTGCCTGCCTGCCTGATGTTTGATTCCTGACTCAGCCTACAGTCAACATGATTCATACACTGGAATATGGCAGCTTGCTGCCCTAATCTCAATAACACAAGTTTATTTGATCAATTTGTGTGGTATTTTGGATGGTTGCTGAGGAAAACTCACAGTATGCGATAAGCACCTCTGGCTGGTGAATATTGATTTGGTATCCCACTGGTCAACTGCTCTGGGCTACAGAAGCGTGTGTTTATATGTGTTATCTTACACTTTTGTGTAAGTAGAAACTATGGAAGTAAAAACTGAATTATTGCTATTATCTCTTTACAACCACTGCACTAAAGACTTACATATAGCCCTTGAATTTGTTTTATTACACATTAGATTTCTGATTTAAAAATACATTTTTTGAACTTTTTAAGTAGCTAGACTGGCCTATTTTTTAATATCTAGGCTGGTTTTGATCAAATAAAATATTCCTCAGTCACACTGCAGAACTATCTGCACCGTTTCCAAGTGTTGTGTAGGACAGTTCTTAGATCAATGTTTCAGTGAGCTATTTGGGTAGCTTCAGAAGAATGTCAGAGCCCCAAGCAGTCACGGAAGTCCTCAATGGAACTGATTGATTGACTGGAGTGCCAGGCAGTTTCAGAAATTAGCTGGGTTGGCAGAACACTCACTGAGCAAACAGCCGTGCAATGATATCCCTTCTATCAGTCTGGCTTGTATGAAAATTGTTACATGATAGCCAAATAATTCAATCTTTGACAGTTCAACCAACTAGTTGCACTTTTATCTGTTTTCTGTTTCTGTCAGGTATCCAGAGTGAGTGAGTGAGTGAGTGAGTGAGTGTGAGTGAGTGAGTGAGTGTGAGTGTGTGTGTGTGTGTGTGTGTGTGTGTGTGTGTGTGTGTGTGTATGTTCTTAAAAAATAGGTGATTTATATTGCGCATTGCTCAAAGCGCTATTATTACCACGGTTGCTGGATCAGTGAGCACTCTCAGCTCCCTGGGGAGAATACAACCCAAGCTGCCTCTTAGGCGCTAAGTTAACCACATTGCCATCTCATCCTACCAGGTACCCATTCACTGCTGGGTGAATAGAGGCACTTTTCTAACATGTCACTTGCCCAAGGTGACACACGTGTTACATGTGCTTCAGTGTGGGGCAGGACTGAAGCCTTAGAAACTCTCAGTAGCTAAACTGCCGAAACGCGGTTACCAATCCAAGGACTCAATGCATCCGACTTTGCCTAACTTCACCTGATTTGTGACCTGTGTAATTTGCCTTATGTGTTCATGATAGATACTTTGGAACAACTAGAAATGATAAATAACTACCACAACTGTATAATCGTCACAGAGAAACCCAGCTAAAATTCAATCACATGTATGAAGGATTACGTTGCCAAGAATTATTTTTCTTTGTTCCATAAGAAAACAAATGCATTAGAAATAAGGGCAAAAATTTATTGCCTCAACACGAAATAATTTATTTTTGGATCACACTTGGGTTAAACACAAAGTGAAAGCAGACTGAACGGAAGCTGGCATTGCTTGCACATGCTATGTAAAAACATGACTCAGAGAACAAAAGATCAGCAGGACTTGGCTCATTTTCCTCTCTGAAGGACCTGTTACACAACAGTGGCCATACACTATTATCCTTGTGCAGTGTCCACAAACAATCAGTCTAAGTGAGTAATTAGTCATCAAGTGAACACAACTTGTGTCAGTATGTGACTTTAGCCAATTGTCTGAAGTTGTGAGTCTAGCAAAATTTTGATTCGTCTACTAGGCTGAACTGGTAATATTGTTTCCTCTAGGAGGCTGAACTGGTAATATTGTTTCCTCTAGTAGGCTGAACTGGTAATATTCCACACATGTATATTATTGTTTGTTTATTACCATTACCGGACCCTAGTGGGTGTACATGTACAATAAAATTGATCGTATCTTTATCTTAGCTACATATTTTGTTGAATGACTAACTGAACTCTCAATCACAGGATTGTCTGCGTCATATGGCTGGAATATTGCAAGTGCGATGTCTCACTCACTCACTAACACTCACTAACTCACTCACTAACACACACACACACAGTGTCTAACCAGATGTGTCAATGTTATTGTTATTGAGAGTACTTCAATGGCCCATTCTGAAGGTCCAACAACTGCCTAATGTTATGTCATGTGCCACCAATATGTCCTATTTCCCCTTCTTCCCCGGTTGAGGCATCAGGTGGTGAGCTAGGGCATGCTTCCTGTCTACATACACTGTGCAGCACTAAGGTTGCAGGACACCACAGCCATCCACCAGGTTTAATAATTGCTAGGGTTGGCTATCAATATAGACCAACAAGATAAATAATCGTGAACTTCATATGGATCAATTATCGATAAATATCCGAAAGGTAACATGAGCAAAAGTCCGAAAGAAATTAACATATTTCGTGCCATGGTGAGTGGAGAGGCATTTATGCATAGACTACTTTGTGGACATTTAAAATAAAACAAAAACAGGTTATTTCCATTTTATGCATTTGACATGATTGACAATAACAAGTTTCAGTAACGTTAAACTTCATTTCATCACAGTTGTATATGTAAGTTATTATTGATGCCATAACTTTCATACAATTAATCATTAATATTTATTCCCATCGATGATATTCATTTAGATTATCGATCTTATTAGCAAGCCCTAATAATTGCTGTCATATCACAGTGGTGATGTGGGTAAATCATGGATTCGAACTAACAAGTATGGACGTCCTGGTTAGCAAAAGGGAAACAACTCTGCAAACCTTCCATCAGATGACACTGGCCAAACTAAAACAGTACTCATTCATTCTTTGAATGGTACCTTCCAATAATTTCAAATGCCCCATGTAAATATAAACTCTTATTCCTTCTGCCCTATAATGGTGAACTCAACAAAACCATTTTTCCCCAACATAAAGGAATTTACATCAGGAACAGCTGTCACCAACAAATTCAGGTCTTTTATATGTGCTAAATATAAATACATGACAACAAAGCTTTCACACACAAACACAACAGCAGCCAATGATCGAGGGGAATGTGTTGCGAAGGTTTCAGGAACAGTAACCATTGTGAAGGAACATATATTTAACTTTCAAGGATTTATAAAAATGATGGGGCCGAATACATTATCACTTCACGACCTGGGTGCCGTTGTACAAAACAACCTTAGCGCTAAGATAATCATAAGCCAATGTTAAACTATGGAAGTTACGATCACCTTAGCGCTAAGATACCTTTGTACAACAACACCCTAGTCATTTGTAGTCCTAACTTAGTCCCAAACCTATTAACACCCGTACCACTGCAGTAAGACATCCAGCAAAGCAGCATTCATCACTCATAGACACATCAGACATGATAATTTAAAAATCAAAATACCACCTGTTGCCAAAGTGAAATGCACCATGTGAAAATCGTCCGGCATGTGCTTTTTCAATGTGTTTTTATTAATTGGAAACAAAAAATTTTTAGAATTCAAAGTAAAATTGACAAGTTTTCATTTAATTAATGACAGTCATGTTTGAGGAAACATCTCCAAAGAAAGAAAGTCAATGTAGTTTCCGGAAATTGTCACCCGCTCCTTTGACTTGAGCTAATGGTTAATATTGGTTGACATGATCAAATTGGCAGCAGGCTATGTGTCAATTATCTGTCACTTTCTCATCACAGTAAGTGGAAGTAATTTGTGGGCTGACAAACACACCTGGCTATATGGACAGGTACACACTGCATACACAACCTTGATATTGGCACCAGAACACTTTACCCACTACACACAGCCAGAGAACGACATGCTAGTTTCAAAATCAAATATCAACAGGAACCTTTGAGAAGAGAAACCCAAATTGCCAAACCTTAATTTGATCGCTTGTACAAATTTAAACTGTAATTCAAAATATTCATTATCAT